AATTCGCGGTATTTTACAAAATATATTGTTTATTGTTTATTACCTCTCACAAAGAAACATCACACCCCATCGCACCTGTAATTATGTAATTATGTAATTATGGTCCTCTGAAAGTTCCTCTGTTGCTGATAGCCTGCCACACAATAGCTAGTAACTGTACAAATCGCTCGTTAAATCATCAAACTGGAGTCTAAGAGCAAGACACGATTTGTGGCAAGGTTTGGTGGCGGTTTAATAGTATCGTTGTATGTTTAATAGTTGCGGTTATATTTGTGTACATATTTGGCATGTTTTTTGTTGTTGATATAGTTTAAAACGTATGAGTAGGAATTTCACCAGAATTTCTTCGGAATTTCATCGGAATTTCACCGGCTAAATGGTCTACAAGTCCTATGTTTATTAACCAATTTTAGAGTTGAGTAGGCTTGAAGTTGTTTAATGTTTGCTGATCTTGTGGACATTCTTTGTATAATTTTAGTAAAGATCGCAGTAATCATGGCATTTGTTTAAACAGAGTTTTGTGTAATGTAACTTTATTAAATTTGATTAAAATGCAAAGCGGTATGCCCGTCGTACGCACTATTTATCTTACTTTAAAAATAAAAGTCTGTTTATTGACTTATCTATACTAACTTCCATCAGATGTTACATGAACGCTACCTCCTAGCCCTCCTCTTTCTCCTCCCCCTCTCCCTCTCAGAGGAATGTAAAACATGTTTCGAGCTCTCCACAGACAACATGTTCCTCCAGAGCCTGCTCACCAACCTCCTCGACACCCAGATAAAGTGTACCCAGCCTGTCGTACTGGAATGTTCAGGACAGAAACCCAACTGTGTCAGTGCCATGTTTTCAGTGTCAGACCAAGCGCTAGGCGCTAAGTTCAAGGTAAAGATAGCGCAGTGTTCAGTGAGGAGTATTTGGGAGAGTCTCCTCTACAGATCAAGTTTGGGGAACGCAGTGGGAGATATGGATGTGAGAGGGGCGGTGGATGTCAATGTTTGGGATGACGGAAACGCTACGGATCATGAGGAGAAGGATTTGTCAGGTAACAAAATTCGCTTTCACGTGGATTTATAGCAGAATTATTGTGTGTATATATGGGAACTATGATAATATTATATTCTTCGCAGCTGATTTTTTAAATGATTGTTTTTTTGTTATCTCAGATCAGATATTATCATTTGTTTTGTTTGACGATGATGGGTCAAATTATATTATTCTTATTGAATAGAAGCGTAATTTAAATTAGCATGAAATGTTGAAAGTTAAAAGGTAACAAAAATGCTTTAGTATTTAACTTTTTATACACCGAACGAAATATTACAGACCCCGGAATCCGGGTAAATTTGGAGGGTTATTTTTTTGAAATTTTAATCTCAGAGCATGTTTGGTTAAAGCATAAAATATTATATACTTTACAGTAATACTAGTTTATTATATACTTTACAGTAATTACCGCGGCCATTCATTTCCACCAAATAGGACTTTTAGATCTAGTAAGGGGAAAAGTGGCATTCCGTTGGATTTGAATGTTCACAAGGATTTCTCAACGGAATATGGTAGTTAGGACCCCTACGAACATAATTAGACTTGTTGCCAATTTTGTATCTCAACAGAAACACCACTTTTACCACTTTTTACCACCTTTGTACCACCTTTCTGGTTTGCCAAATATCTTTAGTTGTGAACGTCGTAGAAGGCTGCAAATTAACCTAGAATGTTTATCTTATCAAGGAGTAAAACTTTTGTATGAAAAATTTTGACATTTGACAATCAGCTAATTGGATAATTACCAATTAGTTAATCACCAAAAAAAGTGAAAATTTTTTATTGGCTCAAAATGATTGAAATCGTTTGAAACACGGAGAAATGTAGTTTTTAGAAAAACTTCAAAAATTGTTCACTTAAAAATTTTTTTCGAGACTTGGAAAAAAGTTTGAAAATTTTAAAATATTTTTTTCCGCCAAAAGTGATCGAATTGCATGAAACGTGGATAAAAATGCTTTGCAGAAAAACTTCGAAGATTTTTAGATTGGGGAATACTAAAATCATCAATATTTGAAGTTGGAGTTCAGTAAATCTCGACATATTTGATATTTTAGTAATTAGGAATAGCTTAGCGGAAAGGGCTGAACCTGAAAAAGGTTAACCACTCAATATTAGAGTTTCATAACTAATTACAATACAGCTTTATCAAATTCCACATAAAGAAACAGCATAAAAGGACCATTTAAGATCGAACCGATTTTACCTGCTGTACTATCATTTTATTGATTTCAATGATCAAAACCTCTGTACCGTCAATCTTGCCAATCTATACCGGGTATCTGAATGTACCGGACCTCTTATTTACCTCTATAATTAGACCCAGTTATGCAAGAAATGCGATTTCTCACAGGGATTTCTTTTAACTGTGCACTTTTTGTCACTCTCGCAAGAGGCCCGGTATTATAGGGGGGTATAGGAAGAGAGTGTAAATATACCTTTCATCATCCACTGTGGCTTTTTTGTATTGTGAATGCGCATGCCGCTTCGTTTGCTATGCCAGATACCTCAAATAACCCCCCTATCTCATTGCCAGGGTCGGGATAGAGCTGAAGATAGCATCGAGAGGTTGCTAGAAATAGCTAGATTTAGAGTAAACTGGTGGTAGCTGGGTGGTGCTAGCATGGATGTAGCAGAACGTAGCTACACGAGGTTTCATTGGAGTTGGTTATTTTAATGGCCAAAGAGTGCCGGAACTAAAGTTACTTAAGATTGCAGTTGAGGGGCAGTGTAAACCACGGTGTAGTCAGGGACACAGAGCTACAGTGCAGGAGTACTGCAAAAGAACAGTGCAAGTGATACAGTCTGCAACAGTAAAACGCCGAAGAAGGAGATAAGATTGTGACTGCAGAGGAGGAGAGGAGCTGGAACCTGATTGTGTTTGGGTTGAAAGAAGAGGAGGAAGAAGAGTGTCCTGCTCTGGTAACTGCATTTTTGGAAGAGGTGGAGTGAGAACTTATTTTCAAGCGACAAGGGTGGGTTGAAAGCAACCAGGTACAGCTATCCGACCTATTAAGATCACCGTCCTGAGCTTAACAGCCTTTCATCAGAATCTGATGAAAACAGAGAGACTGACCCACCCTTTTTAGATCCAACGAAACCCTTTATATAAATCGACTTTACCGCATGAATTACTTCATGGTATCTTCTTATCAAGGCTACAGACCTTGCCGTACCGGATTTATTGATCAAAGTGAGTCTCTTTAGCCCTCTTCTTCTTTAGAGCTTTAGGTTAGTGATCAAACTCTTCGCAACTCGCTCTTCACTGGATCTATCAGGACAGATTCACATCTTTTTAGGTCTCAACCAGCCTTAGTTTTCCTGTTTTCATCATGTAGTACGTTCTGCTACCTCCATTTTAGCACCACCCAGCTTCCATCAGTTCACTCTAAGTCTAGCTTCGTCGGCGTTTTACTGTTGCAGACTGTATCACTTGCACTGTTCTTTTGCAGTACTCCTGCACTGTAGCTCTGTGTCCCTGACTACACCGTGGTTTACACTGCCCCTCAACTGCAATCTTAAGTAACTTTAGTTCCGGCACTCTTTGGCCATTAAAATAACCAACTCCAATGAAACCCCGTGTAGCTACGTTCTGCTACATCCATGCTAGCACCACCCTGCTACCACCAGTTTATTCTAAATGCAACCTCTCGATGCTATCTCCAGCTCTATCCCGACCCTGGCAATGAGATAGGGGGGTTATTTGAGGTATCTGGCATAGCAAACGAAGCGGCATGCGCATTCACAATACAAAAAAGCCACAGTGGATGATGAAAGGTATATTTACACTCTCTTCCTATACTCCCCTATAATACCGGGCCTCTTGCGAGAGTGAATCAAAGTGGTGAACGGACCGAATCACTACATGACTGAATCCCTAACGGACTGAATCACTACCAATCACTATTGGTAGGGATTGAGGTATACTTTCGGACTGAATCACTACCGGACTAAATCACTACCGCTAATATCTAGACCTAACCACTTTGATGTGATCCCTTACATTTTTCGTGATAATTGACTAAGCAGAAATTTGGTCAAAGATCACGTCATGATATTAGAACTAGTGAACTAAGATCATCTGGTAGGGATTGAGGTATATTTTCGGACTGAATCTCTACCGGACTAAATCACTACCAGTAGTGATATTTGGGTGGTAGTGATTCCGTCCGGTAGGGATTCAGTCCTACAATCACAAAAAGTGCACAGTTAAAAGAAATCCCTGTGAGAAATCGCATTTCTTGCATAACTGGGTCACGTTTCATGCAATTCGATCACTTTTGGCGGAAAAAAATATTTTAAAATTTTCAAACTTTTTTCTAAGTCTCGAAAAAAATTTTTAAGTGAACAATTTTTGAAGTTTTTCTAAAAACTACATTTCTCCGTGTTTCAAACGATTTCAATCATTTTGAGCCAATAAAAAATTTTCACTTTTTTTGGTGATTAACTAATTGGTAATTATCCAATTAGCTGATTGTCAAATGTCAAAATTTTTCATACAAAAGTTTTACTCCTTGATAAGATAAACATTCTAGGTTAATTTGCAGCCTTCTACGACGTTCACAACTAAAGATATTTGGCAAACCAGAAAGGTGGTACAAAGGTGGTAAAAAGTGGTAAAAGTGGTGTTTCTGTTGAGATACAAAATTGGCAACAAGTCTAATTATGTTCGTAGGGGTCCTAACTACCATATTCCGTTGAGAAATCCTTGTGAACATTCAAATCCAACGGAACCCTTAAATCGACCAATTTTCCCCTTACTAATCACATAATGTAATAATTCATTTACCGCGAATTCCCATGAATTCCCATGTACCACGGCTGTTTCCTTTGCCCAAACTCCGCAGTAAATCAGGGTTTTACTGTTATTAATTAATAGTGTTAATCAGTTTAGAATCTGTATTAATTTGATGATGTTTTAATAATTAAATCATGTCTTAAATTACTTCTCTTACCCCGAAGTTTTGTTCTGATTTCTGAGTTTAGTCAAGGAGTCCACTTTAGTGAGTTTGTTTCTCCGTTTATTCTTACGAGCAGGTTTGTCTTGACTTCTGAGGAGGAAGATAAATAAAACATGCCAACAGGCTAATAAGAGTAAGACTGTAGGTGAACAACACTAATTTATTTCAGTAATTGTGTTCTAAGTGATTTACTAATTCACTAGATTGTACAGTTGTAATGACAAACGGCTCGAAATATCTTGTGCAACGTTTAAATAAGAAGCCTCATCATCTAATCATCCACTTCCACTTTGACAAAGTAAAGAAGTAACATAGTGAAAAAGTGACAAAGTAACATAGTTACAACTTACAAGGCAAAAGAGTGACAAGGTAAAAAAGTAATAATTCATATAAGGTAACAAAGAAACAAAGTAACATGGTAAAGTAACTTGAAAAGGTAACCAGGTGACCATTTAAAAACCAACAAACCTGTTCTCGTCCTCCCCAGCGTTCTCCCGCGCCTCCTCCTCAGGACTCAGCGCCTCTCCCTCCTCAGGACTCACATCACCCGTCCTCTCTGAGACAGCTGACATGTCCTGACACAGGGTGGAGGAGTTATCCGGGTCTAGGGGCTCAGTGTTTAGCGGGGCTTCTGTCGCTAGGGTACGGGGTTAATGGTAGTGAGGATAATAGTAGGTAGGCGGCGCACGTGACAATGACACTGGTAGTCAATACTAGCCAGTGAACAATTTCTTGGACCGTAAATTTTTATATTTCATTGGGAGAAGTCGTAGTTAGACAACACTAAATTTGAAACATGAAGCAAAAATCTTAAAAACAATTAAAAGTGAAAGAAAGCAAACCTGCTGCCATAAAACTACTGTCCAAGATGGGCAGATCGTCTCCTAGGTCCGGAGGGGAGTCTCTGAAGGGGTTGACACGCGTACTCTTCACATCATCAGTAGTGTTTTCTTCTTCTTCTTCTTGTGAGGTCAGGGTTTCTGGTTGCTTCTGTGATCCTGCCAAATATTTAGTTCCTCAGGGGGGAGGGGGGTAGTCGTAAGGGAGGGGGGGGGGGGGGGGGAGGGGGGGTACGATGCTCGTAAGAAATGTTCTAAAAATTTCCGTAAAAACGTTCTAGAATAACAGAACTAATTAAAATTAGTTCAAAGAATTACGGCGGAGTGTTTCACTAACCTTGCATAAAATAACTCGGAACTATTCAAACGATGTTGCTACAAACAAGAAAGGTAAAAAGCAAATCGATAGTAAGTATGCCGTATGGTAGCAAAGTAGCAAAGTTCAACAATTCTCGATCTTTCGAAGTGTCTTATATTACGAGAATGAGGAATTAGTCCGCTGACCACCGTAACATAAAGATAGCCTCCAAACAAATGAGAGATAGTTAGTCATACCCACGCATATGGTATTAATATGCGGCATAAAAATGTGGCTGTAGGTAATCATTAATTGTAAACTCATTTGGGGCTATGTTTTTGGAATAATGCCGGACTGTTAATTACATTACTGGACACGTATTGAGTTGGTTTTACGTTTAAAAGTTTGAACATGGGTTGTAGACGTGTATCCTGATGGAGATGTGAGGAATATTTGTTGACACGAGGCAAACCTGATCAATAAAAGCCCAGAATCATTGTCACGTGTCAATATAAATATGATTCACCTCGCTCCCCACCAGAATCCACAGCTATTAATTCAAATTGTTTAAACTGTCAAATAGGAAGAGGTAGGTCGTAACTCAAACAGCAAATTCTAACTCAAATTCTGGCGAAGCAAAAAATTCATATTTTATCGTTAAAGGCCGATCATCTCAGATATTTGTCTTGTAATATTTAACGGTATAATAAATAATGATTGAGTGAATATTGCAAGAAGCATCTTAGGTCATGTTAGCAAAGGCAAACTCATAGGAGGTGTTACAATTAATATTTCAACAAGAAACGCAATACGCACAACATTCGTATGATTGATTTTGGCATAATATCATTTTATAAACAAGAAATTTATAACTGAATCAGAGAAGAATTCAGAAACTTTCGACGGAATTCGTACAACATAAAAGATAAATTCGATAAAAAATCATGCATTAGCTGCCAAGTAAATGATTCGGAATTTGGATATATTACTAATAAGTGGCGACGGTTATAATTGGAGTGCACGACCTGCACGTCAGCATTTCAATATTATAGAATAAAGAGCCTGCTTAAACAAATATGTATGAGATGTCCAAACCGGGCAAATAGATTTAAAGCTTGTAATACCTAACTATAATAGAGCAGCAGGAGGGTAGCAATACGATGGCTAATTCAAAGGAAATTAATCTTTACAACTACAAAATGTAGACAAGATTGCTGATTCGTATGATGCCTTTGATGAACTCTACAGTCTACATGGGTAATTTGTTATGGCTGTAATATTTATGTTAAAATGTGAGAATTACAGTTAAGTGTGGCACTGTATATTGTACAGTATACTACTTCGGAGATCTGTGAGCAGAGTACTGTCTGTGTACTGTGCAGTTCGTGGATTGATTATACGGCTGATAATTCATTATGCGAAACAATCTCATTCAATAGACCGTGTACACATTGAGCCGACCTAATCATAAACACGAAGCGTATCGGCTGGTACAAATATGTGAGATTAGAAGCTAAGAGATGCGTGAAGCTTCTTATTATTAACGTATTACATATTACTATATATTAACGTAATACTACTTATATTATTATATATTTATGGTATGGACAGACATGGCTTCACGGACAGGTACAATTATAATTCCTCAGTTTATAGGAGTTATTAAGGAGTAGGACGTCAGGATCATAGCATCGCGGCAGTGCACTTGGAAGTTAGCAATTATACTAGATCTACACGTACGAGCCATCATTATAATATTATGGTCGCTCGTAGATCGAGTATAATTTGAATAAAGTATTCATTACTACTCGTCACTGATGATCCAGCTATGTACTTCGTGAGTACCGTGCTGAGTAGATATTCCATAATGGAGGCTCGATTCAGTATCTACATTCCTCAATCATAGAAGTTCTATCCCACTAATCAAACAGCGTGTACACGGAGGTCGGAGAAACTAAACATTAAACTGTTAAAACACCATCGAACAGATTTTGTCAGTAGAGAGATTAATTTAAGAGATTAAAAGTAAAACTGATTAAAAAGGATCTGTCTGTAAACACCAATCAGCTCAAAGATTTCGCAAGCAGCATATTTTATTGAAACATAACCAAATATTTTATTTGAAAATGAATTATTATATCCCTTATATTGTATGAGAATCAAGCATTTCATTTTAGCCATGAAAAATTAAACAAAGTAAACGTATTCGGTATTAATCAGTCCGATCGGTTCTAAAAATGTGAGATAGTTAAGAAATTAAAGATTACAGAGATCCTCTTTCTGCACACTGGCACAACTGAGCGGTTCTAAAAATGTGAAATAGTTAAGAAATTAAACATTACAGAGATCCTCTTTCTGCACACTGACACAACTGAGCGGTTCTAAAAATGTGAAATAGTTAAGAAATTAAACATTACAGAGATCCTCTTTCTGCACACTGGCACATTACAGAGATCCTCTTTCTGCACACTGGCACAACTGACAAAAGGTTCCATTCTATAACTTTCCCACGAGGCCCAGACCCAGGTGAAAGACTATAAAGAAACGCGGAACTGTTACGATAATTCCTATTGTATCTACAGTGGTGGCTAAATATTAAACAGAGAAACAATGGGATCTGTACGTAAAATACTCAGCATCACTATTACTGGTATCACTGGAAACTGGGAATTACAAAGAGTACTGCAAACTGGTATTTCAGAACATTACACATCTGGTTAACTTGTAACATGTGCGATACAACAATAATTGAACTGTACTATCTACAATTTCAATTAAGGTACACTATTAATAAAACTATGCAACAAGGACTGCACGATCAGTTTATACCACAAGATAACTGGTGTTTACAACCGCACGAAGCAAGTGAAATTATAACATTTTGGCAAACGTTTAATCAAATAATTAATTAAAACTAATTATAAATGAACCGTGAAACATACAGAACTTACGCCCTAACACAATTATGGACAGCGAGCAGGGGACAGTTCCTGTTATTATCTCCCTCAAAGAGTTGTAACTGTGGGGGACTGCAACAGGAGAGTGGATCATGTTATATAGTCTGTAGAGTGTAGATTATAATATTATGTAGATTGTAGAATGTAGATGCTGTCTAAGTAGATAATGTAGACAGTAGATATTTTATACAGTAGAATGTAGGTATGGCATCAGTTTTATCGACGTTTTGGTTGATGTGAATCTGTTATATGAAATAAAAAGTCCGACCTTCAAAAGGTCATGCTAATTACAATTATGAAGAGTGACAATAACAAAGGAAACAACGTAAACCAGACAAAGGTAGCATATATTTTGTAAAATTGTTAGTAAACAACGACACCAAAATTGCAAATATTAGATAACTTAATGAGCCTAATAAAAATCGATTTAAACCAACTCAACCACTGTTTAAATAAAGAAACAAAAGCAACCAAGCAAAATTAACCGACTGAAAGTAGTGTTGGTTACACGATAATCCCATATCATTGTATTTGTATGTATACACTAAAAACTAAAAAGGGCCGCACGAAAAAAGTGGAATTATCATAATAAGTTGGCAAATAATCAATTAATTAATTAATCGTGTAAACAGTAACTGTATAACACTCACGACTAATGCTCTAATATAACACTACAACCGAGGGAGCAGCAAGAAAATAGGGCAGTATTTAGACAGCCCGACCCCTGTCCGCGAACAACTGTCCGCGAACAATTGTCCACGAAATCAGGCAGGACCTTACTCAAAGAGTTCAAACCAAACACTGTGGCACACTAAGAAGGGTGAGACGGTAAAGGGAGATGATCATGCGAAATACGTCAGCCACATTAACACCTTGCCACTGATTGGCAGGGTCCACAAAATGAACGGTTCCGGTATAACGGAATGACGCTGGTTTTATCATTATATGATAAGAAAATTCCCAGTGTTCCAATCGGATATTAACTTATAAATTACATAATAACCACTTATAAATCACCCGTTTTTACTAGGATTATAATCATGCAAAAGGGTTACATGGAGGAGGATTTATAAAAAGCATACTTCTAATTGCATTTAAGAGGATCGCCCAAAGTGAAAGTAAGTATATTCCTAATTAGAAATTAGTCAGTTCATCCATGTTCATTCTAGATGAAGGGAAAATGCCGCGTTTTATTACGAAAGTCTTTAAATCTAAAATGTAACACTGTCAAGGAAATGAAAATAGGTAAATTAAGTTCTAATAATACAGAATGATAAGGTCGGTGTAAGAGATCAGAAAGAAGGCTCCCTTTAATGACCCGGAAAATTTGATATCACCCGATCCTTCACAACAGGAAAATGGGGTCATTTACCAGCTAATGTTGGATATCAAATACCAAACATCCGTGACCTTGCCAAATGACAAAACATGGTCAGCCATGAAGTATGGGTGAAGTCTTTAGCAGGTGGTCCCGAGCAAATGTACCTCTAATAATGGGTCAGCAGCCAATCAGGTGAAAGTAGTTACTACACTTGGTATGAATCAGCCAACCAGATTAGTTTAACACTGAGACAAGTGGAGCTGTTGCGACTAAATAGGACTTCTTGCTACTGCTTGAACATAATTACATAACTTAAAGCATATAATTTTTGCAAGCCCCGTCAAATGATAGCCACAACTAGCAACAACAAAATTAGAAACCTTATCAAGCAGATAACACCACGTATTTAGTTCTGAAATCACAAAACAGAGCACACTTAATCACAGAGATTAACTCATTAACAAGGTGATTGCTCGGACTAACCACACATTTTTACACAACCCTAAACCAACTAACCCCAGACATGGTAACTAACATCATTATACCCCAACAGGCAATATTGCCACAACACAACGGATAACTAGCTGGTCAAAGTGGGCATTGGTTTCTGTGAAATCATAACGAAGAAAGGCAAGCAAATTGCATTTTACGCTGGGTTCTGTAGAAATTAGAAGGAAAGTATTTTACAAGCTCGCGCTATGGCACAGCACGGTTAGTTGGCAGTTCAGTGACAATTGGGCTATTATGAGATTACGAAGGGTGGGGATTGTAGGGCGCTGTTCTTCTTCTTCGTAAGGGGCTGTGGTAAGGGTGACCACTATAAGATAGAGCATTAGAGCCCTGTCCTTACCCCGGTTAAATATTTATAAGTGGAAAAAATTTAAACTTTGTTTACTCCTCATTCGATCCCTTGTATGAAGCCGACGATCCTTGGTAGTGAAAATTTGTCCACTATGTCTGTAACACTAAGATAGAAGAAGTCAAAGTATCCTCTTCGTTGGTAAGACCATTTGGGGCACTGACCAATAAAGTGGTTCATTGTCTCCTCTTCCATGAGACAGTGTGCACAAGTATTAGGGATAGTTCTCGGCTTGAACTTGTTAAGGTGGTAGTTTACTTCACAGTGTCCAGTAAGGAATTGTGTCGCTGTTCAGTAAGGAATTGTGTTGCTATTATTGTGCTAAGTTTCGGGATGGATCTGGCACTGTTAGATGCTAGGATAACCCACTGCACCTTAAATATTCAATGATTCCGTAGCAATGGGGAGGGGGTAAGGCACGAAGTCGTGCAGGACTCGAATATATAATGTTAATCTCGCAGTCAGTTAGTATGCCCTTGCTTCCTCAGCAATACTAGAGGACTGGAATAAGCTGACTGCCCAATAAATTAATCAATTTATTGATTAATACAATTATAGAATAGGGGAATTCTAAGTTTATACTTTTTAAATATATAATGAACTTTATCATAGTCTTCTCGAGCGAGGAGCGGAGGAGCTAAGAGTAAACAAAAAGTCATATTTCAAGTAAACTACTACTAATTAAAATGCGTTATAAAGTAAAATATTGCTTACCTTGCATGCTATCGTTGTTGTTGAGGTAGCTAAGAAATGAATTTCGCTTTCCAGTCAGATAGTCGAATTTGCCTCCCTTATTACCTGAAATTAGTTTATTATAAAGTTACTTATACTGGACAGTATACAGTAATATGCTGTACACGAAGGCAAACACACAACATGAGGCTTGAAATCTATATAAAACTACAGCATAAGAGCCTTAAATAATTGGTTATATAGTAGAATTAACGCTGAGTACTAGTATTAATACAGTAATAAATATCGTGAACTAATCGTCTTTATAGAACTTGCAGTGATTAATGAGACTCAACATAATATCACAATTCTCATTTGATTAATTGCTAGTTATTGCTTAGTTTGTCATTGTCACGTTGCAGTGAGAATATGACCCACATTTTCGCAAGAAAACTGTAGCAACTTGTATGTTACTTCATAACTTGTCGTACATAATCGCGACCTTTCTCAAGGGGGAGGGTGAGGGGGTCTCCTTTGACTGGTGTCCTAATCTCGATTATTCTAAAGAACTTCCTAAGAATTCATGGTCCACCACTCCACATTTAAAATTCTCAAGTCTGCAAAGGGGCGGCTTATGAAATGTGCAAGTAGTTGTCACGCTTCATAAACATAACTTACTCTAATTGTCTAAGAATAGCTAAAAACTAATTTTTCTTCTCAGTTTTTGTTCCGCTATAATAAGTTCAACACTTTGCCTTTTTTAAATCTACGCCACTAGCGAAACACGGCATGATAAAAGAAGCGTTGTCAGAATTTAAGAGGCACATAAAAGGAACTATTGCACTGAAATAAATGTATTATCAAATACTGTAAAATCACCAAAACGGAAAGAATTTTCGAAAAAGTTCACACAGAACATGCAGAACATGCAGAACAGCATTGCTGTTTTTGTCCTCACAGTAAAAACAGTATATCAGCATTAAAAGAGAACGAAGCAAGCATAACACAGAAAAACAGCATTCTAACAGTAAAAATGTGCACAGGAACAGCAAAACAGATAAAAATCAGCCTTGTAAACCATCAGCAGTAAAACATCAGCCTTGTAAAACATCAGCCTTGTAAAACATCAGCCTTGTAAAACATCAGCCTTGTAAAACATCAGCCTTGTAAAACATCAGCCTTGTAAAACATCAGCCTTGTAAAACATCAGCCTTGTAAAACATCAGCCTTGTAAAACATCAGCCTTGTAAAACATCAGCCTTGTAAAACATCAGCCTTGTAAAACATCAGCCTTGTAAAACATCAGCCTTGTAAAACATCAGCCTTGTAAAACATCAGCCTTGTAAAACATCAGCCTTGTAAAACATCAGCCTTGTAAAACATCAGCCTTGTAAAACATCAGCCTTGTAAAACATCAGCCTTGTAAAACATCAGCCTTGTAAAACATCAGCCTTGTAAAACATCAGCCTTGTAAAACATCAGCCTTGTAAAACATCAGCCTTGTAAAACATCAGCCTAGTAAAACATCAGCCTTGTAAAACATCAGCCTTGTAAAACATCAGCCTTGTAAAACATCAGCCTTGTAAAACATCAGCCTTGTAAAACATCAGCCTTGTAAAACATCAGCCTTGTAAAACATCAGCCTTGTAAAACATGATGCTGAGCAGCTAAATATAAGCATCATCTCACCATCTTCATCAGTAGCATTGAAAACAGACAGCTGTTGAAACACTGACTCAACTAACAGATACAGAGAATAAGAACCCCACTATTAGCGGTGCTAAGAATCTATCATAACACCCCGCTAAAAAGATACTCAGAACTGAGGTAAGAATGTGGAAAATCACACGAACTAAAGATGAAATTACAGTAACTTAATGAAGGTCACCTGATGTTTAGGGGTTTACTCTGATGGTACGTTAACGTACCTGGTACAGCGAAGGAGAGAAGGGATTTGAACGCGCTGTTCTTTACCTCTGTATCTGCTCCCGGACTGAAATATTTCGGTGTGACAACACAAATTATTAACTCATGCAACAATACTCAAGTTAATGTAGGAACTTAATGTGCAAAAGTTAAATTAAGCGATGATTTACATTTTACTGACAAATAAGTTTTCTTTGAGTTTAATTTTATGACTCACTAAGTGTCCTTCATAACGATTATCTGTTGATCACAACTTTCACTGATCTCTCTTCTCGTCCTGTCCAGAACTAAGTGAGTTAGAGGTAATTTATTTATAATTAGCTAACAATTTAATGATAATTATTATCTTGCGCACTGTGAGATGGGAAATGTATCAACTTAATAACACCAGAATGTGTGTGTGTCTGTGTGTCTGTCTGTCTGTCTGTGTGACGTGTGTAATTTCCGAACGGTTATACAAAAAAAACGGTAATAGTTACGGGACTGGTTTTTTCGGTATAGTGCCGACAAAACTCTGATGAAGCCCATAGGAAATTTTTTTTAAAATCGGCCGGTGGTAAGTGGTTTAATTGATGGTTTTGTACCACAAATGTTACATAAAATTGCTTGAGCAGAACGGCAAGAGTTACGGGGCTTGCTCTCTCTCTCTCTCATTACTGTGTAATATTTTATAGCTGCATTTAAGTAGCGTCATAATTAGATTAGCCCGGAAGATTTGCTGTAATGTTATACCTTAAGCTTATTAGGGGAGGGAGGACTGTTAGTGTTTGGGGTATGTTTGGACTGCAGAGAGAGAGAGAGAGAGAGAGAGAGAGAGAGAGAGAGAGAGAGAGAGAGAGAGAGTTCATACGACAATGTTATGCGTGTTTTCAAATATAATATGCGGGTGTGGTGCGGAGTTAACAAGGGTTAATTTCTATAACGATTTAAATAAAAATAGTAAGCGGTTCAGGACGGGAGTGATGAGGTGTAATACTCGGTGTTCAGACCTTATGATCATGGAATGTGGTGACTCATGGCTAATAATGATTTAATTATCCACAAGAAATAACTGATTATGAGATTATTGTTTAAGAAACTATTGGGTCACCTAATGCGGGTTTTGACTCAGCGGGTAATTACTCCTACCCTTTTTAACTGCGGCAGTGAAATCCCGGCCGTAGGCCGGGTTACACTAGTTTATGCATAATTACAGACGTAATTTAGGGGTTTAGCTTCCCATCTCTTGATAATGTGGGACACTGAACAGTACCTTCTTGATCCTTATCATCCTGGACAGTAACTTCCTTCTGTTGTGCCCCCTCACCCTACCCCCTCACCCTACCCCTCCCCCCTCCCCCCTCACCCTACCCCCTCCCCCTCCCCCCTCACCCTCACCCTCCCCCCTCCCCCCTCCCCCCTCCCCCCTCCCCCCTCCCCCCTCACCCTCACCCTCACCCTCGCCCTCACCCTCCCCCCTCCCCCCTCCCCCCTCACCCTACCCCCTCCCCCCTCCCCCTCACCCTACCCCCTCACCCTCACCCTCACCCTCACCCTCACCCTCACCCTCACCCTCACCCTCCCCCTCCCCCTCCCCCTCCCCCTCCCCCTCCCCCTCCCCCTCCCCCTCCCCCTCCCCCTCCCCCTCACCCTACCCCCTCACCCTCACCCTCACCCTCACCCTCACCCTCACCCTCACCCTCACCCTCACCCTCACCCTCACCCTCACCCTCACCCTCACCCTCACCCTCCCCCTCCCCCTCCCCCTCCCCCTCCCCCTCCCCCTCCCCCTCCCCCTCCCCCTCCCCCTCCCCCTCCCCCTCCCCCTCCCCCTCCCCCTCCCCCTCCCCCCTCCCCCTCCCCCTCCCCCTCCCCCTCCCCCTCCCCCTCCCCCTCCCCCTCCCCCTCCCCCTCCCCCCTCCCCCTCCCCCCTCCCCCCTCACCCTCTCCCCTCCCCCCGACACTGGACAGTACCTTCTTGATCCTTATCATCCTGGACAGCAGCTTCCTTCTGTTGTGCCCCCCTCACCCTACCCCCTCCCCCCTCCCCCCTCCCCCCTCCCCCCTCCCCCCCTCCCCCCTCCCCCCTCACCCTCACCCTCACCCTCGCCCTCACCCTCCCCCCTCCCCCTCCCCCTCCCCCTCCCCCTCACCCTACCCCCTCACCCTCACCCTCACCCTCACCCTCACCCTCACCCTCACCCTCACCCTCACCCTCACCCTCACCCTCACCCTCACCCTCACCCTCACCCTCACCCTCACCCTCACCCTCACCCTCACCCTCACCCTCACCCTCACCCTCACCCTCACCCTCACCCTCACCCTCACCCTCACCCTCACCCTCACCCTCACCCTCCCCTCCCCCTCCCCCTCCCCCTCCCCCTCCCCCTCCCCCCCCTCCCCCCTCACCCTCACCCTCACCCTCACCCTCACCCTCCCCCTCCCCCTCCCCCCTCCCCCTCCCCCTCCACCTCACCCTCTCCCTCCCCCCGACACTGGACAGTACCTTCTTGATCCTTATCATCCTGGACAGCAGCTTCCTTCTGTTGTGCCTGCAACTCCACAAACAACTCAGACAAGTACGGCTCCATCTCACTCATAACCACGTACGCGAAGTTAGCGTACGAGAACTGCGCTAACATCTGTTCCAGCATCTTCTGTACGTACTTCAACTAATGTGGATGTTTTGTTAAATGTGTGACACAGTAAATCATCTTAAAGTCGGTTATTTTTCGGAACTACTGCTCACAACTTGACATGCAGAGACAAGAGATTGATCTTACATAAATTATACTATTATAATAATTTTTATCAAAATTAGGTTTTATAAAAGAATGCTGTCAGCGAAATACTGACAGTAGAGGCGAAAATTAGGCTATTTTTCTTTTACAACAAATTCTGCAGAGGTTTGACAAAATTTTGCGTTACCCGAACTTAACGACTGACGAGTTAATAAGAGTTAAATCTAGAACAAACCAAACTTAGTGGAAATTTTGTCGTTCACTAATCCCAAACACACCGTCTTAACAGCTGTTAATAAAAAACAGTCATCACAATATCAAACCTGATTTTGGCGGGAGGATTTACGAAGTTTGTAGACATATTCCAGTTTGTTCAGGGCATGTTCCTCCTTCAATCTCAGAGTATCAATACACGACTTTGGGTAGGTCACCAGCGTCTGAAACAATAATATTTATATTCATATTGACTGTTGAGTAGTTCCGGCCATTCAGGTTGCTGACTTTTATTTATGGAGAAGTTATAATAACATAAACCCGCCACGCAAAGGGTTTATATAACAGATCATCCCGCGCTAGCGGGATGATCTGATAAACACATACGAGTGCGCGCAGCGCACGAGTTTTGTGTTAATATGTAATCCCGAAGCGCCAGCTGAGGGATTACATTTATTTAGCCCTGAGCGTGAAGTGTTTATGGATTATAATTATCTCCGGCGATTTCGACAAGGGATTTATACTTTAGATTGGAAAGCAGTTCATCAATCTGAATGTCAAACCGATCTGTCATAGTGGAGCAATAGCTTGAACGTTAGCAGGAACAAGAGCTGGAAGGAGAGCAAGCAAAACAATACTATTTTTAGGGCACGGACAAGGGTAGCTGGCTAGTCGCCAACTTCTCACGCCACGCGTTGGAGAAATTCCAAGAATTAGCTGCTTTGGCAACGTTCCCAGGAATTTGCGTGTAAAAGAAGTGGACGGTTACGATGTTTCATATCACGTGGTGCGCTTTCGTGTCACGTGGTATAGACTCGGCGTATGCTATTGGTGGCACGTGGTACGCACTAACGCACGTGACGCGCCCACGTGATCGCGCGTCTAACTGTTCTACTATTATCGAGTTCTAATCAGCAGTATCATTGATTATTGTAAGTCGGAGAATTGAATGATAAACATCAGTTACGACTAAAAAGCGGGCCGGGTTTATACAAATTTCCGGGGCGGGATGATATCACCTTGAGATGTTTATCTAACAGCGGGCCGGGCTGAGTGATAATATGATCCCGCGTCGAAATCCCGGAGATATTTATAAAATGAATTATGCAACAATTACTTTGTTTTGATCTAGAAGACCTCTACTGTTGTGCTGTAATTCACGGCGGACTAATCGCCGACAAGTATGTGCGGCATGTGATAACTTGATAAGGGGCATATTTCAAAACTGGTTCCACTTGGAGGAAATTTCAGAAATGCTTTTATCAATCCAATTTTGGAAATTTTAGAATGTTTGAACTTTATACTTTGAAAATCTGCAATATTGGAGACATCAATCTACTCTATCATGCAAAAATAACTCATTCTATCATCGACACTAAAACAATCCTCAAAAGTGTGCTCTACTTCATAACGTCTCTAGATTAGGCCTTTGCTTGAACTAAACCCAAATTTTGTGTGTTAGTATATGAGATTTCATTTTTACAGACTGATATAAAGCCCAATCAAGGAGAAAGAGCTAACATGGGGAAAATGTGGTTTAAAAAATTTTGTCACTCCGTAACAAAAAAGTGTCAAAAAGTTATCTATTCTCTTAACTACACGCCTATTGCATTCCATATTTTCTGAAGTATCTCAGTGACCTTACACTAAGATCTTCCAACATTTTCGATTGATAACATTATAACTTAAGAGGAGATATGATGAGCCAAACTTTGGTCACTCCGTAACGCTGTGTTACGGAGTGACAAATTCAAGGGAAATTGTCACTCCGTAACGAATTTTTTAAGCTTTAATTAGGTGCACTCTATGATACGACCAACCTTGTAATTATGTAATCACCTAATTACGCTCTACCTGGAGCATGGTGCCTGGGGCTATTGAGATATGAGCCGAAACACAAGGAAAGATCACGTATTTTTGGATAAGTTGCAGCATGACCTGATCACATCTTTACGCTATTTCAAGTGTACTATTAACTATAGTACACCATCTTAGTATATATCAAACACACACATTGAAGTCTATTAACTATAGACTGGGCTATTAACTATAGCCTGTACTATTAACTATAGTACACCATCTTAGTTGCTAAATCAGTTGCTAATTTCTGATTTACCTTGCGACATGGCTTTGACGGGGAAAGGGAGGTAAGGGTGCCTGCGACGGGGTGGGTGGAACTATTAAACATGCTGTCTTCAGAAAGATACTGTCCAATCAGGTTGTCATAAATACACCAAAGGAGTTTGCAACCTATGCTGACAGTCTTCTCAAGTCAATCAATGTCGTGTATGTTGGAGATCTAGCCTCAGGTATGGAAGAGGAGTGCAGAAGGAAAGCAAGACCAGTTCCAGGAACCTTGAAAGTGCACCACATTGTCCGTTCTTTCAAAGATAACAGCTGCATCCTTACCTTTAGGGACACGTCAGTTGATGGATCTTTGATAAAGAAGATAGAGTATGCCGATGAATCATCTGCTCAGACGACTTCAACAACAGTTATTGGAGAGGAGGAAACACCATCATCTTCTAACAGCTGTGAAACTTACAACATTGATCAATTCGTGATTGTTAACTGGGAGGGTGAACTTTACCCAGGAAAAGTTATTGGCAAGCCAGACAGCAGTAACCTTACCGTTAAGTGCCTTGTACCAGCTGGAAAACCTGGATCAATCTGGAAATGGCCTGACAAAGAGGACGTCCATGATTACGAACTTAGTGACGTGAAAGGAGCTATTGGTATGCCGAAGCTTTTGCCGGGAACAGGGAGAAGAATAGAGTTTGAAGTACCTGAACTTGCTTATAAGTGGGGTGTAAAAGTTTGAATTTTCGTTAATCTGTGTACATTGTACAGTTTATAACTTTAAACAAATAAGCCCAGATTTTTAAACATTTCATTATGATATGTCACTCTGTAACAGATTCTTAACCGAGTAATATTTGTAGAAAGTTAAACCAATGAGACTGATTTTTATGCAGTTGTTTATATTTTTCAAACAGTGATTTAAATGTGCTGTATTTTAAGGGAAATTTACAGAGTTGTAAGCTCCAGGGTTGATTTTTTATCACATAATCGTATTTTTATTCATAATTGTGATCAAGACTAATGAATTGTACCAGATTTGATTTATTTCACATCAATAAATTTGTGTGTCTACCTTGTTTAAGTGTTATCTATCTAATTTTGAAAAGAATTCTACTATTTAGAGCCAGGAACATGATGAAAAATGATGAAAAATTCGAGTGGAATGAGAGACTGTTTGATGCGTCACTCCGTAACAGTCACTCCGTAACAATCCACAAAATTTTTGAAGCCTCAAATTTTTTATTCCTTAGGCAATACACACTTTTTCTTGATTAATTATTGAAGGAAAATGTCTGAAAAGTGCCTGGAAGCCGTCAAAATGCAACTTTCAAGAATATCTGAGATAAAAATTAGGTCAGAATATGGGTGTACCAAAATCTGAAAATTTATCTAGTCACTCCGTAACGAAATTTCGACTTTTAATTACTCAAAAACGGATTGATTTCTCACTATTTTCTTTGGCAGATATGTAAATCGTAGGTTTGAAAAGCCTTAGAAACATAATTTAACCAATAATGAACCTGTTTTCTTGGACATTTTTCGGAAAAAATGGGTAAAATTGTCACACCGTAACATTCTATAGTTTTGAAATATGCCCTAATACATAATGTACCAAGTAGTCAGGTGATATGTGTACTGTGTATTTCCGACAGAGTACACGTCATAGCTGAGTAGAACTAGTAGAGTTGGTGTACAGTATCACACGGGGTGTCATGACATAAGTCATCGTGTATACACTAAAGTACAATATTAGTAGAGTAGTACATGTTACTCTACAATCTATACACTACTGTTACTTTGTGTAATGTAGGCTACTCTATCATCACAAGGATTAATTAGAGAGGTATTACGTATACCTAAACAGTATCTATAACGTTGTATCAGACTATACAATAGTTTTTACTGTCTTTGTGCTTTGGCGAATGGAAAGGATCTAAACTACAGTTTTTAACAATTTAGGATGTTATGATATCGTAATATTAGGAGCAAACTAAGACTTCATGATATCGGGAAAAAATAATAAATAAATCAACACATTAGGAAAATTTCCTATTTTCACATAATTATGTATGATTCAAGCAGTGTCGACAAAAGATTTCACTTTAAATAAAAACCTTATAAAGTTTAAATACCATGACGGATTTAAAAAAAGTAAAAAACGAAACATACATGTTGATCATCTTGAGCTATAGGTCTAACACCGCAATATCTTTCTGTCTCCATAGAAACGAGCTCGTCACCCTTACTTATACCTTCTGATAATTCCTGAAATTAGAGTTAAATTAAATCAACACAGTTGTTTAATCAGCATAACATATATAACTAGAATTTGGTTTAGAATATAATATCATAACGATTAGCAAATTGAAGTCCTTTAAACACAAACCGAGCCCCATACCTTTATTTCTTCCATCTGTTTCCTAATATCAACCAGGGGTTCGAGGGTAAGTACCTCGGTTTGAGTAATCAACATTTCTCTGTACGTCTCAATACGTGATAAACCAGTACTAAACTGTAATACAATCAGTTTTTAGAAGTTTTGTTAAGAGTGGAGAACAATGTACATAATATCATTTCAAATATTTCTAAATTTAGATTATTGTACCTGAAATTTGAGCTCTGAAACGGGGTTAGCAAAATATTTACATCGGTCACATAGATTGCGTTTTATAGGACTGATAACACTAAATTACACTAAGCTTCACACTTCCTATCCTCCTCAGTATATATCCTGAGAAAACTTTGATGCAATGAAAATTTTGAATATGTCCTACTGGAAAGCTTTGATAAACGGTAAAGCATCAGAATTTTAAAAGAGATTTTGGAAGATTTTTGAAGAGGACCCTTTCTGCTGTTCCCTGGCCGAACTTTTGCGATTTTGACTGAAATTTTGACCAGTGACCAAATCAAAAGTCAGTGTGCAAACGTTGTCCTTAATAGCTCAGTCAGCGAGTGCCAAATTGAAATAATTCTTTCTGGCATGACTTACTACCACCACTGGTTCGAGGAATTTGTCAAATAGAAAGAGGTATAGGACCCAACGTTTGCACACTGACTTTTGCCCTCCCCCCACCCCCTGTATATATATGTAGGGAAATTTTTGGCAACTTATCTTAGTAATTGTCATCTTATTGTTATTAGCAGAACATAGTTTAGCTTTATTTTCACAATTAAAATACGTACCTTCTCTAAAGCAGTAGCATGATCAGGCAGTATATCGGCAGCATCTTCCAGTGCCACACTTAAATTTTTTACATATTTGTTATACTCCTTTCCAGTCAAAACTGAGTCCCTTATAGTATTCTCTGTGGTAGTTAGACACTCATAAAACTCCGTTGAGTGCAACTGACACTCAGTAATGCATTGGTTGAGGAATGGTCCATCTGCGACTACTTCTTCTAGGACTGGCAGTTCATTATACACCATTCCTGAAGTCAGATTTTATTCATGTAGGGACAGTTACGACAGCAACATAAATCTCGTTCAAATAAAAACATTATAGTTTAGACATATTTTAAATATTTTGGGGAAAGGGTAATGTGATTCAGTGTTTTAGTGTAGTAACGTTCAGTATCCCCAAGGAAATATGCTAAAAATTAAAACTGCCTTGGTATCATCTTTAAAAAATGAAGCTTCCACTTCAATTCTGTTAATGCAGAGCTTCATGTCGAAGCATGATGTATCCTTAATGGTCAAAAAGTATTATTTAAAAAACAATTATTAGATAAAAGCAAATAAAGCACAAAAGTATAAACAAGTTTATCCTCTTGTTCAGTGGGACTTGCTTTTGTCCTCATGTGATTTCAGTTAAACACATCAAGCAGAAAATGCCCGTAAGGCCTTCTACTAACTGAGGTGCTTGTCATTGATTGGTGTGTTTGTAATTAGAATTGTCGTGGGGTTACTGATACTTTTATACTTTTACTGTATTCAGTTTACTGATCGTTGTTGATCCACTTAATGAAACGAAAAATATAAATTTACCTTTTCTAGCAATGACAAGTTACCAGTGGTAACCGGTTGGAGCAGGCAGTTGCGTAACATCGTTTGTAGCAGACTGCTGTCCTATCGGTAAGTATTTATAATTGTTATTTATTAGGTGGATTATATGGAATTGGGTCGATATGGAATTGAGTTATTATTATTGTGTAATAAAGTATTCTGTTTTACAGGGTTTAAATAAGTAAACCGGAGTTTCACTTGGCTAGGACGTAATTAACAGTTTCTACGGACTGCAACCTTGTAGCGACAATTCTAGGATGTGAAATGCAACTTATATTATTTATTGGACGGCTGGTGAAAGATAATAACCCTTTAAATATAAAGGGTTATCATGATAAAGATGGTTATCATAATAAAAATGGTTAATATAATAGTGAAACAAATTTTTTAGTGAAACAAATTTAAAATTTTATCCTTTATTTTACAATCATAATATAATAATATTTATAAGCCTCCGTTTTGAAAGTTTTAAATTTTAATATTATATTCACATTTCTATTTAAAATTCAATTTAATGTATAAATCAATAACTGGGCGCCAAAGCCGCGCATTCTTGAAAACAGGATTAAATTGTTTATGATTATACGACAAATAGAAATAAATTTAAAACAATCCGTGGTTTTTTATAATAAATTATAATCTTACCTAAATCCAAAGCCAGCTTTGTAAAATTTACTATTAGATCATAATATATCGTCAATTCTAAATATTTACAATGCAACATTTCATTAATCTACATACAAGCGTACTCCAGCCCCTGCACGCATCCGTTCTTTTGCGGCGCGGCTCAAGCCGCGCACGCACGTATTATTTTATACTTTTTGCTTTCTAATAAATATCGTGTCAATGTGTACGTCTAAATGTTCATGTTTTGTGTAAACCGAATCCAATTGAGATTAGTGACAAGGATAAGGACCCAAGTGCCTGTACAGCTTTTTCGGACCCCTGTGGACCACTACTCTTGAAATCGCTCTACAACTAGTGAACATTTATAACTGTTATATAATATATAACGTCATTTGACAATTATTATCATTAATCTACAATCTAACTGTCTTGCTGAGGGGGAGGAGTAAACGCTTCACAAGCTAAGATACTTACAACATACAAAATTTAAAACCATCAACACGGTTATAGTTAATATCAAGGGCCAATTTGGTATACCTCTATTTCGTTGTAATATCTAGTATATATCTTCACATCTTAATACTATAATGAAATACAATAGGATACATGTTTCGAGAAAGAAAGGTTGGTCCGATTATTAACAAAAGTAAACAAAAGTCCATCAGGGACTCCACGGAGTCGAAAAAGGTACACGGCTGCTGTCTGGTGCTGCTAGGCATTTATTGATCAAAATGTTTTATTGTATTGGTTTTTTATGATTCTATTGTTCGTGACTAATCAAGTTCTAAGTGGGGGTATAAAGTCCAGTATAATGAATGAGATAGTAAACAATACAGTTTCAGTAGTTGACCCATACAGTTAAGTCCGTCATAACTCACAATTGTTTAATCATCTGTCAATTGTAAAAGTCGTTGTGTGTTTAGTCGCTGAGTTAGCAGTAAGATAAGTTGTTACGCCCGCACGCGCGTTTAATCCCGTCGACGTGAGATGTGACAATGAAAACGGTACAGATTTATTGTTTTCGCACGTTACGTAGAATTTACTAATGTGTAATACTGGTTAACACTGGGTGTACACTGAGTGTAACTCGCTAAGTTTCATATACGAGCCGTTGAATATTTCCAATTTTGAGTGTATCGTGAGCATGTTTTACAGTGCAATTGTTCGGTACTAGTGTGTTTGTGTGTATATATATATATATATCATCTGTGGAGTATGGTGTGTGGACTGTGGTAAATAATGTGTTTAGTTGGAGTGCAGTAGTGGTTGCATGTATGAGGAAAGATAAGTGGTTATTTTAGTAACTCACATTAATCAAAACTTGAGCTCATTTGTGGCAAAATTAAGCTCACACCAATCAAGTGTATCATGCTTGAATTGCAATTCTTGTAAAGCAATTTTCAATGTATTCTTAAACCCGTTTGTCGGAGTATTGAAACTTATCTTACTTGATGTTTGTCGACAGCTGTTCCACATGTAGGATGATTGGTAGATGAATTGTGAGGATGGTTGTGATGTGATGAAATAATCCTCTCGTCGTGGTGACCTGTTAAATGATGAGTACAGTGATAATGGTTCCTCTAACTTATTAATCCTGAATAGTTCTAAGAGACAAGTGTACTTATACAGGTTGTGAACAGTTAACAATTTCTGATTCTTAAACAAGGGCTTAGAGTGTTCTTTTTTGTAAAAGTCCACACCTAGTCTTTGCTCACCAAATGGTCGTGTCCGGGCACAAGTTCTAAATTTTTCGAGGTAAGCTTCTTTATCCCCAAATAGAATTCTTATACACTTTTTCTGTGTTTTAAAGAGAGGTTCGAGTCGGTTGTTGCTAATACCACCTCATACAGATATTCCAAATCCCAAATGTGATTCGAATAAAGTATGATATAAATCCTTATAATACTGTTTATATAGGGACAATGTGTCGTATTCTGCATAACTTACCTACTTCACATTTAAGTTTTGAGTTAAGTGACCGTGTGTGAGTTTTCCAATTAAGTTGATCATCGATAATGACACCTAGAAATTTAGCTTCTTGGACTTTTTTAATGACAATATTGTTCAAAGTTAATATGTTCTCGTCATTTTCTACTTCCTCTTTGGCACGTGACGGTCTAAAGTGGATAAAACAGCATTTCTTATAATGTTAATATGTAATAAGTTTAGTTTCATATACTTATAAACAGATGCTAAAACTTCATTTCCCTTTTCGTACAGTCTTCTGACACATGTTTCTTCAATATAATAAGACGAGTTGGACTCGTCGACGGTCAAATATTTCACAAGTATTACCCGTTAAAATATACCCGAAAGATCAAACGTTGGCATATTTTGCTTTGTTGGCATATCAAAAAATTTGTTTAAATATATTTAAAAACTATATTGATGCCAGAAAGTATTTGACATACGTTGCATGCCACTTTTTGCGCGCGAAGCGCGCGCCGCCGAAGTGATACGTAAAATGTATTAAGAAAGTAATAAAATCAAGCAAATATTAATTTTTTAAAAAATTCAATATTGGTATTTTGGTGTCATATTATGTAGGCAAATTATTATATTTGTTCACAAATCTCATAATAAGGACTTATTTTACTTTATTCAATACAAATATAACAAAAAATTATTCCAAAATGAACAGTGAAACTAAAATGTTTGGCGCGCCGCGCATATTCAATATTTTCGCCAAATTACACCATAATATGAAAATCGAGCGCTCAAACAAATATTGTCATATTTTCCAGGATAAGGAATATCTTTTAAAATTATTACTGTTGCATCTTGCAGATGACGCTTTTTATCTTCACCATAGACATCAAGCAACGTTTCCCTGTTGATTTTGTAGTAATTGGCTGATAGAATTTCGTACGGTTACACTGTTAGAAATGGATACGACGTTATGACACCCTAATGGGTGATTATTTGATGGTGCAAAACGAAATTAAAAATACTCTTATTGGGCTTCTTGCGACTTGCATGATTCCCATAGGCCATAGATATGAGATAAGCAAAGTTTAGTGTCTACCTGATCCCACGTGATGAACAGATCTATCTTGCTTGATATCTGAGTTATCGGAGTCGCTAGAGCTACCATCTTTTTTTCAGGAAAAATGTATATTTATGATAAAACCTTCATGCAAATTTGACTTGATCTGATGATCAAAAATATTTAATTTCAGATATTTTTGATCATCAGACCGAGTCAAATTTCGAGTGAAAGGTTCATTTTTGTATTTTTAATTACAAAAATACCTTTGTTTGAAAATAATTAGCAAATATGACCTATTTTTCGAATAAGTCATGAAAAAGCAAGTCATATCAGGAAGAATTGTCTCAATTGAGCACTCAGTGACTGACAAATATCAAATGATTATAAACATTTTCACACTGACTCATGGGCCCCCATGTAGTTGAATCAAACTCCCATTGCGTTAAAAATTAAATTTTTTGAAAGGTGATACATATGCCTAGTGCAGGCCTTGGGAGTTTCACTTTTCATAAATTTTTGTTTGTAGGCTCTGACCACTTGGCTATACCCTAGGAGACAATTGCATCTGTCTATAGTTGTCTAAAGTTAGTGAAAATATGTTAAACCTTTTATTGTAGTGAAAATTATGCTTACGGACACGTTTTTTTTAAGTGTGGTGAGTTGCTGATTTCACCTTTTTCAAAGTAGAGTGCACAAAATGAGGAAAAAGTCGCAATGCTTTTTAAAGTGCAACCATACATTTGTACATAGGATGAAGTGAAAATATTCAGCAGTTGTGATTTGAAAAAACGAAGTGCCAGGCTCAAGCAGAATATGACTTATGAGCAATTAAACTGAGTGCCAAAAATCAGCAAACCATTTTAACCTCCAATTACCTAATTCCATTGATTTCGCCATATTTTGCTCAAATATTGTTCACATAACACTAGTAGATTGGAGCGAGTAACTGTTTTCAGCATTTTAGTCATTATTAGCAATTCCAGTAAGTGACAGAATCCAGCAAAAAGTCATTTTTATATCTGAATACGACTGCTCTATTGATGGTTCTTGTCAAAATATTAAAAAGATCAAGGCGTGACTGTGCTATTTTCTGGATAAGATAATGTTTGGTTGTGTCTTTAAACTTATTCTTACATGTCTATGTGCGAGCCATCAGCAAAAAGTCACACATGTATCAGCTTGAAATTTATCTTTTTTTAATTGATGAAATAAGTATCGAAATTTCAGTTCTTTTTTTCAGTCACCTTATTGACTTTTAGATTGAAGGTGCCATTAATCAGTTAAAAGACGGCTTGAACTCTGTACTGCTTACACTCAATTATGTCCCGAGTGCCCAAATTCAGCATATCAGTCATATAGATAAATGATGTAAAAAGACAAAAATTGTCTATTTCTTGATCCATGGGTGTACAAGTGTTAGTTTAAGCATCTACTTCGAAAAGTAATGTGTTCATAAAGGGGACAAAAACAGATAATAATATTAGAGTGCCACTAATCAGCTGTAGTGACTGCTGCAGCCAGCGTGGGAATTACCAACTATTGTAAGTCAATATCAGCATTATTAATCATCTCAAACCACCAAATTGTTTATGTTGCAGATACAAATCTTAGTTTAGGTATATCCTGAAAATTTAAACAACAAATGTGTCCTGAAAATCAGTAAAAAGTGACTTATTTGACAGAAATAGTCATTCTTACTGCTAATTGGCACTTCTTTTAGTTCAGAATATTGTTTGAGGGAGAGGTGTGCCTTTTTTGTTTAATGTGGCACAATTTTGTTGCACTGTGTGCCATTATTCAGCTTAAAATGACTTCTTTTTCTAGGCATATACCAATGGTAAATCACATAAAATTTGTGCTTTGTAAGCAGTGTTGTGATAACCTGCTATAATAACTAACTTAAAACTGGCACAATGAACTTCAAACATCAATAGTATGTCCCAAATTTCCATGATGAACATGATATTGTTGTCAGAAATCTACTTTATCGTGCCAATAATCAGCAAAAAGTCATTTCTATGAAGATTTTAAGCTAAAAATATTATTTATAAAATGACTTTTTGCTGAATTAGAACACACAATATCGTTAGATTTTGTAAAGAATCATCTTAATGAACCTGCTTATGCTGTCAGACATCAATTGTATACTGCCAATATTCAGCAAAGAGTCATTTCTTTCGAATTTTTAATCGTGATAAATTTGACCTAAAAATGACTTTTTACTGAAAACTGACACACTCTTAAGTTGATTTTCGAACAGAATGCTGTTGAGCAGACTTAATCTCGACAGTATGATTGAAAAACGTTCTAATTTAATGCTGTCTAGCTACTGCAATGTAAAAAAACTCAATTGTAATTTTGTGAGTGAATTTTTACTGAATACAGGCACACAATAGGTTTTTCCTAGGTTACATTATTACAGACCAACGTTTCTTGAAAGTTGTTACAGTTCATTCATAAGCTGATCAAAAGTATGGGCCTTGTACAACCCCTTCAACCAAACTAGAAATTTTACCAAACAAATGACTTTTTGCTTATTTTGAGCACAGTTCAAGTATTCCTACCCCAATCCAAATATTCTTTGAATAATTCTGAGACATAATCTGAATTTTGAACAGAAAAGTCGCAAAATTCAGTTTTTTACGGGCGTTTTAAACATTATAGTCCAAAATGCTGAAAACTGGCACTACCTTGGTACTATATTATGACATATTAACTAACTAATGGATTTTCCTTACAGGGGCAGTTAAGATTGAAGGCATTTCTGTGCAACACTTTCTAGTTACTAGTCATTTTACTTTCATTGTCAAAAGTGTCATGGCACTCAAAGTCATTTTCACCACACTTAAAAAAAAACGTGTCCTTACCAATGTAAAGCAATATTATACTGCCTATCAATTACTATTAATCTATATCCTTCTTAAACAGGACTGTCTGCTGACAACAGAAACATGGAAGAGGATGCTAGATATCTGAAGAAGAAGATAAAGACGGGTGCAATTGATGTTCACCCTACCCTGTCTGCCATTGTTGTTCACTTCGAGGTTGAAGCTACAATTTTGGGCGAGGCAGGAGATGCAATGCTGGGTGAAAACAAGCAATCCCAGAAAACTATCATGATAAAGAACTTATCAGTTGGAACAGACCTGCGAAAATTAAGTGAAGTTGTTGTTGAGAAATGTAACTTGATACATCCAAGTAAAGTTCCTGAACTGGAGCAGCTTCTCTACTATCTACAAACGAGAAAAGTGACCGTAAATACTGAAAGTGTGGAGCAGGAAATGGAAAGAATCCGACAGGCAACAAGCCGATTTGATGACATTGACGAAATTCAGGAGAAGGCCGATTTGAATGAATTGGAGTCATATGTCGATTTACTGTATGATGACATGAAAACTAAAACCAAGGGGACATCACTTATATTGCAGTTAGCAAGGAACCCTGACAACCTCGCTGAACTTATTGAAAATGAAATGGTGCTTGGTGCCCTAAGTCGTGTTTTAAGAGAAGACTGGAAGAAATCAATTGACCTTTGCACAAATATTGTGTACATATTCTTTTGCTTCTCCAGTTTTTCAGAGTTCCATTCAATTCTGCTACAGTACAAAATTGGTTCATCATGCTTGCAGATAATTGAAAATGAGCTAAAACGATTTGAGTACTGGAATGATGAATTGGCTAAGAAGAAAAAAACAGCCATTGACGAGAAGAGTGAAGAATCTCAAAAAGCATTCCTCAAAAGTGAAAAGAAGTTTGAAGTAGTTATACACAAGCAGGAGCAACTTTTACGAGTATCTGTCTACCTGCTTCTTAATATTGCTGAAGATACCCCAATTGAAATTAAGATGACTCAAAAGAGTATCATAGTGTTTTTGAATACCATGCTTGAAAGGAAAAGCCTTGAGCTATTGATTTTGGTCGTGTCATTCCTCAAAAGGCTCAGTATCTACAAAGAAAATAAAGATGTAATGAAAGAGATGAATGTTGTTTCAAAACTGAACAAAATGATTCCTCATCAAAGTGATATTCTTGTCAGCCTTATTTTGAGATTAATTTTGAATCTCTCTTTTGACAAAGATATCAGGACACAAATAATAAAGTGTGGCATGTTGCCCAAATTAGTCAATTTTGTTAAAGAAGAAACCCACAGAGTCTTTGCTCTTTGCATCCTTTATCATGTCTCAGTGGATGATAAATGTAAAGGACTATTCAGCTACACTGATATCGTCCCAATCATCATTCACATACTTCAGGTTTGTACATTTGAAAAAAATTAACGACGGAATTTTTAAGTTCTTCAGAGTTACTTGATTGTTGAATGATTTTTAATCACTATTCTCGTATACTTAAACATGTTTGAGATGTTCGAAATAATCTTTTTCTTCTTAAAAATGAATTCACTACAATATTCAGGAAAATGAGGAGGGACAGCTGGATATGGAATTGATGGCACTGTGCGTCAATATAACACAGAACCCCAAGATTGCAGCTCACTTTGCACAAAATCTGCGACTTCTGTTGCGACAATCACTGAAAAACAGGGATTCTCTTATGCTCAAAATGGTTAGTTAAGTTTACTCATCGATGACAGATGGTCTGAAACAGACTGGTAAACAATAAGGTGGACTAGAATTTGAACGATCTTTAGAAATTAGATTGATGTAAGCATGTGTTTTAAAAACAAATGCTTACATCACTCAGTTCCAAGAACTATCTTTAAGACGTGGTACCTCAAACTAACATGTGACACCTCAAACTGACATGTGACACCTCACGTGATACCCAAACTAACAGTTGACACCTCAAACTAACATGTGACACCTCAAACTAACATGCCTCAGGTCCGGAACATTCTGAGTCATGAAGTTCAGGAGAAGAAAGTGGTGCTCAGCTCAATAAACGAGATCGTGTCTATTGTTAAAGACTGTCCACACGAGGAGGTGAGATACATATCACTCTACTAAAATGTGCAGATCTACCCAAGCCCCCCCGCCCCCAGTGTTGAACGGATCAAAGTCACGCCATGACATCAACCTCCCAATATTGAATATCATAACAATAACACAACGTAAACACAACACAACGTAAACACAACGTAAACACAACACAACCCTCCCAATATTGAATATCATCACAATAACACAACGTAAACACTCCAGCAGATAACAGTGGAACTACTAGGAGTGCTGGCGGAGTTGAACCTGCCTGAAATAGACTTCAGACAGCTTGTTACCGAGTATAATCTGGTGCCCTGGATATCTCGCAATCTCGCCCCAGCTAATGTTAGTTCTTAGATAGTCCAGCATTGAATAATTTAGGATTTAATAGGTTTTTTTCGATGCTACTCAATTATCAAAACTTAAGAAGCCGATAAAGAAGAAATCGGGCAAAATATACACAAAACTAGGTTTGTAACGAGAATTGCAGCTTAGCGTTTCACACCGTTTGTTAACTGTTAAAGTTCACAATTATAATATTTCTCCGAACAGAAGGTGGCAGATGATGTGGTGCTGGAAATAGTGAGGTTTGTAGGGAATGTAGTGAGAGACGAGGACTGTGCCCAACTGTTTGCTAACGCTGGTCTACCTAACACTCTTATTGAGCTCATCACCGCCAAACAGGTTTATTACTTTGCTTTATTTTATCATTTAAGCCAATTAATAGATTAAGAGAAATAGGATCATTAATACTTTAATTAGCTTTGAAGAATTTATAAGTCACTCACGCATGATAACCAAATATTTTTAAACAGCCCAAAAGAAATCAATTAGTGCTGTCCATAAGTTGTAGGGTTGTGACGTCATACATTTCACATCTATACTTTCAGGAAGACGATGAGATAGTCCTGCAAATACTCTACGTGTTCTATCAGATGATATTCCACAAGTGCACTAGAGAGCTCCTCATTAAACAGTCTCAGGTTAATACCTAAATAGTCAATAATAATCTGTTTTCACTCTTTTGAGTGGATCGATCATTTAATTGATGTTTTGGGACAAAGTAAGAGTCTCCACTTTGTTTGAAAAACTGAGTGGAGACTCTCACTTTGTCCGAAAACATCAATTATGTTAAATAGTGAATGTTTAATTTAACCAGAATGTTTGTTGGGCCTTCTTCGGCTTGTATTACTTTGCACTGGTATTATATGCATTTTTTGTATTTTTTGAGTAAATAAAATGGCTGCTTTGTGGTATACAATTTAGTTAATCTGATCTCAATAATGCTCAACTACTAATATTTCGAAGTTGAAAAAACTTCAAATTTAAAATTTAGAGCTCCAAAGTGTTCAAATTATAAAATTTTAAATATCGTTACGATCCGACAGGCTCCGGCTTATCTGATAGATCTGATGCACGATAAGAATACAGAAGTACGCCGGATGTGCGATACAACTTTAGATATCATCTCTGAGTACGACGAGGACTGGGCTACAAAGTCAGTTTCTTTCTTTTAACAACAGTTTTCGTCAGTATAGATCGAGTAAAAGAACATTTTTTATTTGATTGTACTTCATAAAAGAAGCTTACAAGTTCAATACAACAGATTCAATCGGATAGAAGAATTATCAATTTATGACGTAAATGTCTTTTACCAAGCCAACACAAAAACCACCCCCTATCAGGATCCAGTACGAGAAGTTCAAATGGCACAACTCCCAGTGGCTGGAGATGGTTACCCAGGGTAACGACCCTGAGGTAGACTCGTACGATGACGATTACCTCCCTAGAGAGATGATGTTATCAGGTAACCTTACCTCTCACTTTCTCTCCTTATCAGCTTCCTTCTGTTTCCTGATTTATTTTGTTTTTACACGAAGGAGGACACACAAATTTTATTCACATCACTACTCATTAGAACCTCACATTTTCTTTATCATAGTTATTTAAATATTAGTGCTCAAAGAATTATTTTGCTCGCTTGTATAATATTAATATTATCATGTCGGTCAGTAGTAACATGACTGCAATTGTTAACGGCCACCTCCTCAGAAGCACTATTTGCTCTGATTTGCCAGCCTGTTATTTGCCCGTCCAACACCCCCTGAATATTGCAGGAGACAGTACAGCGGATCTGCTTTACCAGCACGAACAGGACGGGTACCGTGACCAGCCTTACGCAGACTACCCTTACGATGGTGACCACAGAGACTACGGTGGTTACCCTGGTGAGGATGGGTATCACCCGGGTGATCACATTCATCACCCTGGGTTACACACACGTGTCGAGGCCGGGGAGTACGCAGCTCAGTACCAGGATCAGGAGGAGGACTACGATTACTATCAACAGGTTTATTATTATTACTATCAACAGGTTTATTATTGTTACTCTGATATCTAAGTCTTGGATAGAGTTAGATATTTAGTAGCGCAGTTCTTAACTTCTTTATACAATATGCATAGTACTCAGTACTTCTGTGTGGTCTTTGGAAGTCTTTTAAAAGGTTTGTGATATTTCAGTTTTGAGAATATTACCTTCCTTGACAACTATCCAAGCACGCAAGTTATCGTTATATTGGTTTCTACATTAACTTGATAATCATTTTAAGGACTAAGGTTGCTATATATAGCAATATATTATATAATACCCCTTCAGCATTACAACCAGGGAGGTAATAGAATGATAAGTCCTGACGAAGAAGCTGTGTACGGAGCCCAGCATTCCAAGCAAGGCGCTCCCCCAATAGCACAAGAACCCCGGAATGCAGGCTACATGACAAACCTTGACAGCTTTAGCAGAACTCTTGAGAACTGGCATCTGAGGTCTTGATCTTGTTTTGTTTATTATAAAGCGCAGAAGTATTTGATATATTTATATAAAGCTGGAATTTGTTTGACAAAGTTTTATTCAGAAGAAGTGTGTTATAGTTGATATAATATGAGAAGTGCGTACTGGAATGCTGTGCTGGTCACAGATTGTACTCTATTAGTTTGTTTCCTGTTAAATATTTCAGCGGAGTAAAGTTTGAATCATACCTGCCCCAGTACATGGTTTTGCCATGCTGTTTTGGCGACAAGTTATCAGAATTTTTACTCAGATGATTACGGTGTATATTGTATTCAGGGTATGTTATTAATGAACTTTACAGTGTACGAAATATGTATAAAATTTCAAGTTTATTATTTCCATTTTGAGTTTTAATTATAAAATTTTAAATTTAATCAGCGTATATGAGTGATCTTCACAGATACCCACAGATCCTCACAGATACCCACAGATCCTCACAGACCCCCATAAAACCTCACAAAAAGGCGTTTAAGTGCAAATTTCCTCCCAACATACGTATTTAACATTACCTCACCCAACACGCTGAAATGCTGTTGACAGCTTTCGTGTACAGACTACGACTGAAATTCTCGTAATTCCTCTCTACATATTATATTTTATGTTGGACGTGTGTGTGCTGATGGTATGAAATGTGTATGTTTTCTGTTTCCTCTTTATATTGGAGGTTGCATTGTATGATATTAGTTAGTTTTGAGTGATTTTTAGGGTTAAGAACACCAGGTTGGAATGCTTAAATAACTCTGAAACTGTTACAGTTGTCACAGTTGTCACAGTTGTTACAGTTGTTACAGTTGTTACAGTTGTTACAGTTGTTACAGTTGTTACAGTTGTTACAGTTGTTACAGTTGTTACAGTTGTTACAGTTGTTACAGTTGTTACAGTTGTTACAGTTGTCACCACTTTATCTACACCTGCCCCTAAACTCCCCCCTACATCGTAACAAAGTGCCTCTTACCTGGCTTACCATGGATTGTATTTCAGGGTTTCCTCGCTTCGACAAAACTTATTGCTCGCCTGATTTGATCAGAACGCCAGCATGTATGTTTCAGGATCAAATTAGTGGCCGTACATCATGGTGATAACTCCCTGGAGATGGAGACAGGTTGCTCCCTGGAGACGTGCTGCTCCGTAGGGACGGGGTTCTTTTGTAGGATTAGTGTGCTACCTTGATTTTATAAGTGTGTTGTCCTTCCCTTTGTTCTGAATGTTACTTTTTCTTGTCCTTCTCAGAATCCCTAATTTTTGTCGTTAATACTGCCTGTAAAATACGCTGTAAGATCGAACTTATCTTGGCTGATCTTTATTTTTTTCCGGCCGTACTGGTGAATTTTCCAACCTTTCCAAGTTATATAACATGTTTATTGTATAGTATTAGTACGTCGGCATAATATACATATTTTATCTGGTAAAGGATAGTACCTGAGTTATGCCTACCAGTACTAACTATCGTTTCAGTGTCCGAGTATGACGTATCTAATATACAATAGACATTATGCCTCTACTCAGTTTGGCAATGAATGCCTAGTCCGAGCCATATTTTCAGTTCACGAACTTTCTTCCGCCGCGCCCTCTCCCTTCCGTTAATTGATACCCAGTTCGTGTTCAGAGCATGTATTGTTAATGTTAATAGCAGAGAATACTTATTACTATTATTGTAGTTGTCAATGTCGAAAAAGAAAGGATTGAGTGTGGATGAGAAGAGGAAGAGGATGATGGAAGTTTTCTACGAGAAGAAGGATGTGTTCCAGTTAAAGGAATTAGAGAAGATATGTCCAAAAGAGAAGGGGATCACACCCATGTCTGTAAAGGATATCCTGCAGAGTCTTGTGGATGACGATATGGTGAGAGATGCTAAGACAATAGAGTGCTTACCCTCTATCACAGATACACATTCCATTCTAGTACCGCGTTGAATTTGTATCAAATTTAGTATCTTTTTCTTAACGTATATGAGTAATAATTAATCATGGGCAAGTATATATCTGTAACACAATTCAGTAGTTTGACACATTCCACAAATGAAATTAGTTTGATCCTGGTCAGGTGTGCGCAGAGAAGATAGGTACATCCAACTACTTCTGGTGTTTTCCCAGCCAAGCTGTTCTCTCCAGAAAAAGAAAACTTGAAGAGATAAATACGGAGGTAGAGGGCCTCAAGAAACGAAAAGCTAATAATGGTGAGCTAGATATGACTAGAAAAACATTGTTGATGTACAATTTGTGAACAATCCAAGAAATTTGATATTTGAGTCGTAATAATAATATTATAGGAAAACAATCCAAGACATTTTATATTTGAGTCGTAATAATGATATAGAAAAACAATCCAAGACATTTGAAAATTTCAGGAGCTGCAATAGAGGAAGCTAAGAAGTTACGGGTGGAAGGAGCAGAAAGGAGTGAGCTCCTTGAGGAGATAGGAGTTAAGGAGAAGATGCTCGCTGCTGTAACCAACGAGGTTCTCAAATATAAAGAGTGTGATCCTGAAGTTCTTGGTCAGTCAATTATACGAAACTTTTCATGATTATATTACATTGCGTATTAAGTATTATAACCCTCCTCGTTTCTGCGTGTTCAGCGACCTATCCTTTTTTGGCCTTCATTCTTCAGTCTTCCATCGGTCTTCCCTTGATCCTTTAACTTACACATTTTAATTATTTTCAGAGCAAAAGAAGAAAGAGATATTAACGTCCAAAGAGTCAATAAACAGATGGACTGATAATATCTTCTCAGTACAAAGTTGGTGTAAGAACAAGTTCAGTATCGAAACTAAAACTATGTGCAAAAATTTTGGCATTCCTGAAGAACTGGACTACGTCGAGTGAAGAATAATTGGGCGGTATTTATTTTTTACAGTTAGAATAGGTATTTTTGAATTTTTAAGCGTTGCTATCGGTTGTGTTCTTTGCTGACTTATATAACGCTATTTCTACACAGGGTGAGGTCTACCTACCTAGTACCTATACACTATTATTCATGCAATGCTATTTCGCAAACTATAATTTCAATTGATGCAGAATTTCGATCAGCCAATTTTTATTTATTTTTAAATTTTCGCATTGCCGATATAAGGCGATCATAAACCCTCGCTGATTTTTAACAATTTTACTTTTCGTGTTTTCAGAGTTATTTAATTCAGAAATTCAAAGTTACAATATCATAATATTAAATTTATAAAATTCTATTAACTTACATAATATTATTATTGAATGTCATACATGGTATATACAAGTACCGACCTAGGTCGACCCATCACCCATGCTGCGTATCATTGATTTCAGTTTTTACTTTAAATTTATCTATTAAGCATTTTTTTGTAATGCATAAATTCCTTATCCAAAACATTGCAGTAAATGATCCCGTATCATCAAAATTAAATATAGAATCATGATAGAAACAGGATGGTGTGTGACAGTAACGAGTCCGCATGGCAGTGAAAGCAGCCAGTAAGTTTATCGCCTCGACAAAGATCGCTGGATACCTTCTTTGTGCAACTTTTTCCATCATTGCTAGTACGACACTCAATTTTGGGACATGGAATGTTTGTGGTCTCTCCACCACTCACAGGCAACATCTTGTTGCAGAGGACATCGACAGATACGATTTAGATATTTTGGCCTTACAAGAAACCAAAACTCGTGAATTCTTGGAAACAACACTTCCCGGTCATCATAGACTGTTTCTGTTTGACCAGAAGCAGGGTAGACATGGAGGTCTTGGTTTTGTTGTTAACAAGCGTTTTATGGACAGTGTTTTATCGCATCATCAGATCAGTGACAGAGTCGTTTACATGGACGTTAAACTAAAGCCCAATTGGGTAAACAAACCACCTTGTTATATCAGAATTATTAATTGTTACAGTCCTACTAATCCAAAATCAGTCCAGAATCCTCAACTAGCTGATCAATTTTATGGTGAGCTTCTTGAGGCTATCAGTGTTCCTGCTCGATTTGAAGTATGGATGTTAGGTGACTTCAATGCCAAGTTAGGCAAGCGTTCACTTGTTGATGAAGAAAATGGTTTACAGCAGCACATAGGTAGGCATGGTGTTGGTAGAAGGAACGAGAATGGAGAGAGATTGTTACATTTTCTGGCAGCAAATGGCTTATTTGCTACCAATACTTCATTCTCCCACAGCAGCAGGCATATAACTACACGCACTGGATGGATAAGAGACCAATCCACCCGAAAGAGTAAACCATACTTCTCACAGATAGACTATATACTTTGCAAGTCCAGGAGCAAAGCACTACTGACTGATGCAAGGTCATATGCGGGAACTAAGCACCGCAGTGACCACAAGCTTGTAGTTGCGAAAGCAGATTTTTCCCTGCGTTATAGTTTCTACAGGAAGAAGAGGACTACTCAGAAGGCATTCAACACAACCACTCTTATAGGTAGCATTGCAGCGCAACAACAGTTTAAATCTGCACTTACTGATAATATCAACCGACTAGTATCTAAACCTGACTATTCTTCTAATGATACTTGTCAACAGTTCGGTAAACTATTTAAAAGTGTTGAGACTGCTGCTATCTCCACTGTGGGTCTACGCGAGCCACAGCGAAAGAGACACCACTCTTCTGATAGTGAAGTTGTTGAAATGTCAGAGGAAAGAAAACGATTGCTACAACTTCTGAATAATAATGAATACAGAGACAGAAAGGACTTGAGATCAAAAATTAACAAACTCTCAAATGACATTAAGAAGCGACTGAATACTCTCAGAATAGAAGTTGCAAACAGTCTTGCAGACTCTATCAATAATACAGACGATGGCCGTAAAATGTTTGAAGCTGTCCGGCAACTATCAGGTAACAAGAAATCAGACTCCATCTCTGTTTTTAACGACAACAATCAACTGGTAGATAATGAGAGTGACAAAGCTGACATTATACGCAACTATTTTGAGCAACACTACACAGGACCAGACAGTGAACCTCCACTTGAGCCGTTTGTTGGCAGTCCTCAGCCACTAAACAATCCCATCACATCCTTTGAAGTGGAACAAGCTGCCAAAAAGCTAAGAAATGGTAAGGCTGTTGGTCCTGATGGTATTCCTAACGAATTCCTTAAACACTCCCCACCTATTTTCTATTCTACATTTGCACAGCTGACCAATCAATCATTTGAACGTCATGAACATGTACCTTCATTCACTGAAGGATTCCTTACCCCACTGCAAAAACCTGGTAAGCCACGTGGACCTTTAAAAAGTCTGCGCCCTCTTTGTCTTTTAAACGGCACCAGGAAGATATTGTCCATGATAGTCCTTAGACGCATTCAAAGACAAGTTTCTCAGTACACAGGACCTTGGCAAAATGCCTACAAGCCTGGCCATAGCTGTGCAAATATTGTTTGGACACAACGGATCCTAGTTTCAGTTGTGAAGGAGAAACGCTGGTCTCTACACAAAATGGGTATTGATATGTCATCTGCATTCGACACCATTAAGAGATCAGTTTTGCTAGAACTTCTTGCTGATGCTGGTTGTAGTGAAGACGACATCCGACTGGTAAGGTACCTACTCTCATGTACCAAACTGAAGATTAAAGTGAGGTCTACCGTATCAGGGGAGTTCATTGTCACGATAGGTGCGTTCCAAGGTGATAGTTTGTCTGGAAACCTTTTCACCCTGTATTTGGCTGGCGCACTTTATCACCTTCGTGCCTTTATGTCTTATCTAAGACCCAACCCTCCGTTTGCTGAAAACCTGCTACCTCTTGAGTGGGAGTACGCAGACGACGCAGACTTCACAGACGAGGATAAAAAGAATTTGGAGTCCATGTTACCAATATGCAAGGAGATATTGGAGGAGTGGAATCTTTTTGTCAACGAATCAAAAACAGAGTTCACACATATCTATCTGGCCGAGAAGAACGAAGTTGATGACAAAGGAGAGCCACTTCGAGGAAGAGAGCCCTGGAGATCATCTATCTCACTTGGTTCCAAATTGTGCAGCAACGAGGACATAAAAAGACGATGTATTCTGGCAAATCTTGCTTTCCAAACCTACAAGAAAGTTTGGGAACAAGGTAAACGCATACCTCTTAAGACCAGACTTAAGATCTACGAAGCCCAGGTGGTCTCCGTCTTAATGTATAATTGTAGCTGCTGGGCTGCTTCAAAGCAGCTACTGAGTAAACTGGATATTTGCCACAGAAAGCATCTGAGGCAAATCATCAGAATGACTTACCCTAATATAATCAAAAACGACACCCTTTACAAGAGATGTGAAGTGGTTCCACTCAGTGAGCGTGTTGCATGTGCACGATGGAGGATGCTCGGACATGTCCTTCGCAGTGATAACAACTCACCTGCACAGCTTGCATTACACTTTGCAGTAGAGAGTCAGAGTACCAAAAAGGGTAGAGTAGGCAGACACCAGTCGAACTTGCTTAAGACTATTAAATTTGATTTAGGTAGTAGGAACATTCCATTTGTAAATACAGACGATTTATACAATTTAAGACTTTTAGCCTCTGATAGAGCGGGATGGAAGAAGTTGTTATAGCTTGTGTATCAGTATTTCTTTTTTTCTGGCTACTTATCAGATCTTTAAGATGTTCATTTATGTTCTATTTTTGATTTGAATAAAGTTATATAATAATATATAATATGATAGAAACAGAAAATAACATATTATATCAACAGATTATAACCATAGTAAAAACAGGAATTAACAGACTTATAACCATAGTAAAAACAGGAATTAACAGATTATAACCATAGTAAAAACAGGAATTAACAGACTTACCACCTGACTAGGAAGATTACATGAACAGGAATTAACAGACCTCATGACAGCTGGTCAGATCAAGGCTCCCACCTGTATTCCACTCCGTTCAACACCAGGTCAGTGTATTGTAGCTTACTTTAATAGGTTTTAAAGGATTTCTTACAACATTAACAAATGAAGGTAACAAGCAGTTGGTTGTTTTGATTTTACCGACCTGTTTAAAGCTAATATATCAAACAGAGAATTTACTCGATTTTAATATAATGCAAATTAATTGAATTATTAACTACTTTGAATGTCGTTTTGACCCTAATCCTCATGCCTCACTATTTACAATCAATGTTACAGGCAGTAAACAGAACATAGACGATGACACTCCGATAGAACTATCATGTGACACGCCTAACACTACTATATTCTACACTATTAACGGGGAGAAACCTGTTCCTTTCGATACTAAAAGCAGATGGACTTACACTTATACCGGTATTTTAGAATGAAACTAACAAATTAAATCGTTTAAACTGTCTTTAGTAAATCGTCTTGACAACTAGAATTCTTGATAATCTTTGCTGTAAATGTTTGGACGTTAGGTATCATCGTGATTCGTGACGCAAAACAATCCGTTATGTTTATCACAGAAAATGCAACAAGAAGCAGTCATAAGTCACTACAAGGTTTTCGTAGTCATAAGTCAATACACGGTTTTTGTTAATTTTCTATCCTTATAATAAACATAATTATAACAATTTCACCGCTCATTTCAGGTCCGTTTCTCTTATCAGCCGGCAAGAGGACTATAAAATCAGTAGCCTCCTACCCGGACGGAAGGAATAGTAACACAGTAACTAAAGTGTACTATATAAAGGAATCTAACCCTGTGGAGGAGTTGGAGCGGCTCAGTTTGGATAGTCAGTTGGATAACAGCTTCAGTCAGGTATTTATTGTATATATTTCCTGCTAACAGCTTCAGTTAGGTATTTATTGTAAATATTTCCTGCTATCAGCTTCAGTCAGGTATTTATTGTAAATATTAATGTTAATATATTATGTGTATTTCCTACTAACGATGATGATAACTTATTGGTTCTGAACAACACCTTTGTCGTATTATAAGTCATATAAACTATAAAGTCCTTACTGCAGTGTACACTGTACAATAACGTTACTGTAGGTGTACAGTGTACACCTACAGTAAAGTTATTCTTCATATTATCAGGAAGAGGACACGTTCAAAAGACGTGTTTTAGCAGAAAGTTTCCGTAGCAACGTCCAGGCACTACCTCCAGGAGGGCTGTACACAGCAAACCGCGCCAAGCAGCGCAGCGGGACCTCTCCAGGGCGGGGCGAGCCCGTCTCTCCCACGGGGCCGGTACCGCGCGCCTCTCCCACGGGGCCGCGCGCTAGTACTCCGAGTAGGAGTGCTCCAGGTACTCCGAATAGGAAGAGAAGGAGTATGAAGATAGCTACTGATGTCATGAAACAGGTACTGTGCATTGTGCAGTGAGTTAGTGTTACGGTTAATGGTGCGGTAGAATATTTTTTGATTAACTGAGGGATAGGTCATTTATGGACTTCGAAAGTGGCGGGAAATGTTTATGAGTTTTAAACGTTTCTCTAGATCATGACATCTATATCAAATAGGCTACATTTCCAATAAATTGCAGTATAATTTTGTCGTGAAACTGAATTATAAAAAATTAAATCTCATCTAATCTAGGTGCGGATTGAAGAGGATTCGTTGCAGACTAATATGACGTTTACAAAAGAAACAGAGAAATGTCCTCAGTGCTTCACTGATAAACCTCCTAACCCCCTCGCTAAATACTGTCACCAGTGCTCCTTCTATCTACCTCCTAGTATGTTTTTAAACCTGTAAAGTATACTTTTTGCTTGATTACTTATATATATTACCCTACTTTATTATTTTAGCAAACAGCTTTCCAATACGCTACCATCTGCTCCATTTCAAAATTATGATAATAATATAGTAATATGTCTCAAATTATAAAGTCTGAAATATCTTCAGATCCAGTAGAGCCTGGTACGGTGAAGTGTTTGCATTGTCACAGTACTGTTCCCGGAGATATGAGTCACTGTTTGGTATGTGAGGCTAGGATCACATCACAACAACTCAACCTTCCTACCACGGTTAGTTTACCACTTACCACTTACCACTTACCACTTACCACTTTCCACTTACCACTTACCACTTACCACTTACCACTTACCACTTACCACTTACCACTTACCACTTTCCACTTACCACTTACCACTTACCACTTACCACTTACCACTTACCACTTACCACTTACCACTTACCACTTACCACTTACCACTTACCACTTACCACTTACCGCTTACCGCTTACCGCTTACCACTTACCACTTACCACTTACCACTTACCACTTACCACTTACCACTAACCACTTACCACTTTCCACTTGCCACTTGCCACTTGCCACTTGCCACTTACCACTTTCCACTTACCACTTACCACTTACCACTTTCCACTTACCACTTACCACTTGCCACTTTCCACTTACCACTTATCGCTTACCGCTTACCGCTTACCGCTTACCGAAATTCAGACATATACAGAAAATGGCACAGATACCAAAAATTAGACAATACAAACAATCAATCGATACAAACAATCAATCGATTTGCCATAATTCTGGACTATCTGACCACATTAATCTCTCCCTGGAACAGGAAGCAATAGTGTGTAGTGGGTGCAAGTTCAAGAACCCTCCGGGCAGTAAAACATGTGTGGTATGTGAGGAACGTTTGGAACTGACTATAAAACCTCCCCAGCCTGCTCCACCTCCTGCTTTCCATCACGATCACAACAAACGGTAATCTTATAATGTGGATCTCATGCCGTTGCTATTGTCCAACAATATATTAACATAATTTCCTTCGTCATCACCGTTGAATGAAGGTTGACTACATATGTAGATATCCTGCGCCATTTAACCAACACATCCTGCCAGGCAATGTAAGAAGTGCAGCAGAGACAATGCACTAGAAGCACGGTACTGCGACTGGTGTGGCGGGTCTATGGTTGACTTGTCTCAGCCACTTGTCTGTTGTTCCTGCGCATTCCAGGTTGGTTACAAGAGCTCCTAGTTTTAGAATAAGTGCACATTGTGGTATATTGTTGTACATTGTGGTATATTGTTGCACATTGTGGTATATTGTTGCACATTGTGGTATATTGTTGTAAGACGTTGTTTTAGGGTTATGTTTCTTAAAGGTGTGATTTTACGAAAAATCTTTATGATTTTTATGATTAATTGTAACACTCCTGATCCTGAATAATGTCGTTAAACAGGTTTTAGTATCACGTGATATTATTCACTATTTAAACTAAAAACTAAAAACTGTTGTTCTCCTCAGAATCCGCCACTAGCCCTGTACTGTGGTAACTGTTCCTTCTCCCTCCTCCCAAAACCCACTGTCTCCACACCCACCAAAGTGTGCTGGAGTGACGAGATACCCCACCCTCCACCACCTGATCCGGTCATTCGATCACGTGATCCCGTGCTCATATCTATTGATACTCAAACGGAGGGTATTTTCTATAAGTCAGCTAAACGTCTGCAAGCTGTGAGTTCCTGTTGTGTTGTTGGTCGCGATTATAATAAATTATTACTAATCACGCAACGTTACGTCATATATTATGATCAAATCGTTTCTTAGTTTATTTCTTCTTTGCTGAGTTTGATTGTTAAAAGTAAGATGAATTCCACTCGTAAGTTTTGAAGTCTTTGTTCCAAAGCACATGTTTTAAACTATTTTCACAACTACAATTAAATACATTTATTGAGGACGTTACAGAAGGAATGTATTTAATGCAGTTATTGAGGAGTCCTAACTCTCCTCACGTCCGTAAATGGAGTTTTCTTTGTATCATATATTATTATATAATTATAAAACGTTGACTCAGGAAGAGAACAGTACGACAGATAACATGAGGCAGGTATACAGATCACGTGGTCTCAGTATTACTAAATACAGTCCTGGTGGAGGGAACTGGAGACAGAACGTGGATCACATCACTAACCACATCAAGGTGGGTTATAGACTGTTCTTCTTTTTTTTTAAAGAAAAAAAGGTGGGTTATCTTTTCTTCTTTTTTTTAAAGAAAAAAAGGTGGGTTATCTTTTCTTCTTTTTTTTTAAGAAAAAAAGGTGGGTTATTACCTCTTTAATAAACTATTTAATATTTATGTTAGTTTTTTAAGTGTTAGCTGACGTTGAAAAATACAAGTCAGCAGTGATGTTCGTTAGCTGCGGTCGCCCCAAAGTAATGCGGTAAATCTTACAATTTAAAGCAGTCATAAAAGCATTATGTACACAACGTGCTTGCCAAATCAATATCTTCTGTGCTCGCGTTAAACTCACTCTCAGCCACGTACACTTCCAAGCTCTATCAAGTTCTTGATTCCTAAAATAAAGTATGCACTATCCCCTACCCCATAACGATACAAGTACTTAGTACAATTATAAAACACATTTTCCTGGCAGGTATATAGTCAGCTGAATTCAGAATACCAAGACATCATTGGGAAGCATGCGTTCGGTAAAGTAACCATGGCAACACTCTTCAAGGACATGAGCGAGCTCCACATTTCTTACGTGTTTTCAACGAAGAAAGCCTCCAAAAAGACAGGTACCAGAACCTGTAGTAATCTCGCAAGTAAATTTACTGATTTCTTTCTTTCGTCACTTTGTAAATTGATGGATGAATTTATTTATTTCATTCATGGCTGTAACATTGTCCATTGTTTTCGCTAAATGTTTTCTCTAAATGAATATAACATAGGCTAGATTTGGCATTCTAACAGGCAGCCATATTTAATGGACACTGGATTATGATTCATGACATGTCGTATGTTTCTTGTCAACTATTATGACGTATTATGACGTATTATGACGTATGAATTACTGATAGTGAGAATCGTATGCAACTTGCTTACTAAAGTTATCCAAATACGTAATTTTCTTGAAAGTGAAGAGATGTGTGTTGCAAACGTTTTTGTATTTCAATTAATACAACGTCATGACTTTATTTTCTGTACGAACAACACTTTTCGATGAGGAAGTAGTAGCAACAGTATTTATACTGAGTCCTATGTGTCCAAGTTTCTTATCGTCAATAAGCGACTTAACTTACTTATTTAATAAGTTATTATGATCGATCTGCTTGTATCATAATAACTTTGCATTTACATTGGGGTTACAAAATTACAGTACTGTTAGGACCAGTATTACATGATATCAGAAATTATGAAAAGGTCGGACAATAATAATTACTCCAACTTTTTGTTTGTCAGTTGATCAGATGACTAAAATGTCGTTGGCAGTACTATTATACGGCATACGCTATGCATGCTTACAAATCATGTCACATATATTATGTTCTACAATCTACAGCTGACTTTTCATTTTTTTGCGCTTTAAAGTATTCAAGTCCTATAACTCTATAAGAATACGAAAACATCATCGATAATTATTCGATTAATGTAACTACGGTGTGCATAAAGATTGAAAAATAAATAAATAATTACGGTTAGGAATGGTATTTTGAATTAGTTTCTTATCCCTTATAAAGCAAACCAAATTCATCTCGAATCCAGCATTACAAAGAACTGCTCTAATTGTAATCACATACCTTATTATCCCCCACAGAGAGTATGGGTAAAAAGAGCGTATCACTAAACTCAGTGGCATCCTCGCCCCAAAACAAGGCCCCTCGTGCAGCCAGCATCGCCAGCACCACACCCTCTGATCTAAGTGAACTGCTTGCGGAGGAACTGAAGAAACCAGGAGCAGAGAACGGGGTGGTTATCACTAAAACTCACGCGTTACTCCAGGAGGGCTCTGATAACGGCTCTAAGAAGGTAACACTTGAACATAGTTGTGGGAATGGAGCATTTTGTGGCAAATTTTCCTGAGGAAGTTGGAACATTTCACAGATATAATGATGTGACAATGCTACTTTTTCAAATTCCTACTGACTACTTTAACCGCTGAACAGTGTAGAAACACTAATAACTAACTTACTTACTCATTGTTCAACCATCAATCATTAACTATTTCCTATCCAGAGTGATGATCTGAAAGCATCCTCTAAAACAAGTCTAATCTCTAACGGTGACGATGGAGGGTCGGGGGGAGGCGATGATAAACCAATACCCAGAGCTACTAAAGATGACAGTTCTGCTAGCATGTCTAGACAGACTTCTCATAGAAAGGTACCGATCACAAATTTAATTAATATTATCATTACAGATCTGTTTACAATATTCATCAATCTGTTTTTTTATCAAAGTGCGAGATGTTTTTGTTATATTAGTTATCGATATCAGGTACATACTACATACAGATTTATTACAGTTAATGTACGATGAAAAGTATATAAATAGTACTTTAACAAGACTTATACTCATCGTCTCCCTTCAAAACTCGTTCTTCAGTGTACGAAATCCGGTAACTATACCCAGTGACCAATTAACTAAATAACCCTTATTGTCTTTTACAGTCTCTAAAGAAGAAGGTAGCACCTAAAGATATGCACGAGTTGAGAATAGGAAAACTAAACTCCACGCTGTTAAGTGAGATAATTAAAGATGGCGATGAACAGCGAGTGAATAGACTACTGGGTAATTACTTTTTAAAATTGGAATGTAATTTGGATGGTCCATGTAATCTGATACTACACATTTTAGTGTCAAATCATTGCTTAAATTAATGATTTTGCTCAAATCTCAATGAGAATTGTTAGTTCATATAGCCAGGCTGAACTGTATAATTCTAGCGTTTCACTTATAATAATATAGTTATTATATATATACGAAATAAACCTACCGTCGGCTAAAATCTCCAGCTCGAACTAAAGACAGTTATGAAATAGATAAATAGTAAATAATACTTCATTTAGCTAACCCAATCACTGAGTAACTCATCAACAAAGTAAGATATAAATTAATTAATCCCCAATCCCAGGTCAAGGAGCAGATTGTAACACAACAACTTCTGGTGGAGTACCTGTACTGTGTCTGGCTGCTAAAAACAAGCATTTCGGAGCTTTCAAAGCGCTCACTGCACACGGGTCTGATCTACATTCCACGGTACATACCTGCTTGTTATTACTTTATTATTAACTTTGATATTTAGTTGTTTTAGAACAGTTTGACACTAAGTTTATTGAACTAAAATATATATGAATTAAGTCTAATTGGGTACGGGATTTGCTGCTACAAGTCCCAGAATGGTCATATGGTATTATGACCACTTAACTAAAAGTCGACTTAAGTTATATCCTCTAAATTACACATCTGCTATCAGGTGCCGTCTACCCAAGACACAGCACTGCACATAGCAGTACAACAAGGTTCACAAGACATTGTCAAGTTCCTGGTAAAACAGGGCGCTGACTTTCAGCGTCCCAACGGTGCCAACAAGTCGCCTCTTGACGTCGCGCGCGAGCGCCATAATCAGCGAGCAGTGCAGCTGTTTACTTCCACCATGGGGTCGAGTTTGTTAGGGATGAAATGATGAGTTCTTCCTTGCAATGACTCGATCCACTAATATTGGGAGGAATTCTGGAGAGAAGATTTCGCATAGATTAAATTATTGCTAACAGTTGTTTTATGTTTGACTGATGACAATATTCTTTTATCAATATTATTTTATCGACATATTCTGACAGCTCATTTTAAAACCTACAGCGTGCTCACGTTTCAAAACATGATATCATCAGTATTAACTTTTTACTTAATGTTAAATCTTCATCTCTTGAAAAGTTGATGTATCATAAAAAGTAGCAATATAATATATTCTTGTTTAAAGAAGTTAATAGTTAGGAAACTGAATGAAAATCACAATCTCTTTACTTTATATTATAGTAACTTAATTAAATTAATTTGTATTTAGCTTGTACATACACTATTTAGTATTTATAGTATTTATCATAAAGGCCATTGATAACTGGTCGGATTTTGTAAATTTACTGTAAATAGCACGATTCTGTTTTAGAGGCTGGGTGTTTTATATTCACGTCATTATTTTTAGAGAGAGAGAGAGAGTGAGAGAGAGAGAGAGAGAGAGAGAGAGAGAGAGAGAGAGAGAGAGAGAGAGAGAGAGAGAGAGAGAGAGAGAGAGAGAGAGAGAGAGAGAGAGAGAGAGTGAGAGAGAGAGAGAGAGAGAGAGAGAGAGAGAGAGAGAGAGAGAGGGGGAGAGAGAGAGAGAGAGAGAGAGAGAGAGAGAGAGAGAGAGAGAGAGAGAGAGAGAGAGAGAGAGAGAGAGAGAGAGAGGAGAGAGAGAGAGAGTGAGAGAGAGAGAGTGAGAGAGAGAGAGAGAGAGAGAGAGAGAGAGAGAGAGAGAGAGAGAGAGAGAGAGAGAGGGCCATATTTCCCGTCCCTTTTTTCACTGTTAATTACCCCCTTGTGTTCTAACCGAGAGAGAGAGAGAGAGAGAGAGAGAGAGAGAGAGAGGGGGAGAGAGAGAGAGAGAGAGAGAGAGAGAGAGAGAGAGAGAGAGAGAGAGAGAGAGAGAGAGAGAGAGAGTGAGAGAGAGAGAGAGAGAGAGAGAGAGAGAGAGAGAGAGAGAGAGAGAGAGAGAGAGAGAGAGAGAGAGAGAGAGAGAGTGAGAGAGAGAGAGAGTGAGAGAGAGAGAGTGAGAGAGAGAGAGAGAGAGAGAGAGAGAGAGAGAGAGAGAGAGAGAGAGAGAGAGAGAGAGAGAGAGAGAGAGAGAGAGAGAGAGAGAGAGAGAGAGAGAGAGAGAGAGAGAGAGAGAGAGAGAGAGAGAGAGAGAGAGAGAGAGAGAGAGAGAGGGAGAGAGAGAGAGAGAGAGAGAGAGAGAGAGAGAGAGGGCCATATTTCCCGTCCCTTTTTTCACTGTTAATTACCCCCTTGTGTTCTAACCGTTAAAACAGCTTATTTTCCCTCCCCACATATAACGGTAGCAGAAGCAGTCGTTACTCTCCTGTAATCTGTATCCAAATTGTAAAACAATGTGGCTCGATGATTTTCCAGGGCAATTAGTGAATCTCCCCGATTAATCATTTCTTTCTGTGGATAATTTCGGGTCACATCGAAGAATTATTAAGTTTACAAATTGTCAAAACTATATTCATTGCATGTTTCATAAGATTTATTGTTTTATTTCTTTACTTGTATTCATCATGCCAATCAACTGACTTAAAAAATATCAGACAAGTAGTTCAGTACTTATAGTTCAGTATAATATGAGCGATGAGCACTTTCTTTTTCATGACCAATTTGTCTCGTGATTCAGAACTCTTGAAGTTCTTTCTTTAGGAGTTTAGGGTAGATACTTGATAAATCTGGGATCTGTATACTTTGTGTAGGAGGTACCTAAAGTAAGAGAACGATTGTAGATTAAGTCTGAGGTGTAGAAATATTGTCCAGTATTGATTATCTATGTAAACCCGCGCACGCACCTACCTTTTTGCAATATTTAGGATCAAATTTGTGCGCATACCTTACTCGGGAATATTATAGCGGGTTAATTTATGACTGGGAAAATTAATAACCGGGAAAAATATGGCGGAATTTCCCAAAACCCGCCAAATTATCCCGGTCATGTATTTACCGGTGGCCGACCTTTCAAGTTTTTTTTCAGAGGTCAACAAATTTTCAACCGAAATTTTTGTTTTTGTTACTTGTTAAAGAAGTTATTTCAATTTACAGTTACTGATATTACTCAGAAATAGAAAAAAAGACACGTCTAGTATTTAAAGGAAAATAAATCTATAGCAATAATAAGTCAAATCTTCATTAAAGCGTATTCTCATTCTCATTATCGCTAATGTCCCCTCCATTATCATTATTGATATCCCCCTGCTGCTGACCGTCAAATTCGAAGTTGTATTGTTGTCTTAACAAGACTTTCATTTTGTCCGCTAATGGGGCTACTGCTCTGAAGGTCAGCCGGAGCTTAATTTCCTGCCCACCGCTTGGTATTGGGGAACGTCTTGGTTTTGCATCTTCAACTGCTCCAGTAATCAATCCACCGTGGACCATGAAATAGTGGCACAGTTTACTCACTTCATGGGCAAGAAAAGTGAGAATCACGGTCCACCCTGAAATCTGATTTCTATAACCAAATTGTGATTTTTATAACGAAATTATGGTAGCAACCGCCAATAAAGTTACAGCCCTCCATCCACTGCTTCAAAAGTCTTCTCTAGCACATATGAGACTTCAGGTAAAATATGATGATCACCACCCCCCTTGGAACCCCATAATTTGAGTCGGCGGGTTTTTTTATGACTGGTAAAATTTTTGACCGGGAAAAATATGGCGGAATCTTCCAAAACCCACCACTTTATCCCGGTTATAATAATCCCGAGTAAGGTAACCATAGTTTTGAAAAGCGACATACCCACACTTTGAGAAGAAAACATCTACTGAAACAGTGAGTTGGACTTTCTGTACCAAACTGTACCATGGTACAATATTTGACGAAAGTCGATTATCTCGAGATCTGAATGATAGAATTTCTTTAAACTTTCCAGATAGTTACATGGCTATAAGACGGATAATCTGAGCGAGTTTGGGCGAATTTCTATGTGTCAAACTTGAGATATGACTTCAAACACAAGTTAATATTTCAAATTGGCGGTTTCTAGCGGTACGCAGGCATATATTTCGAGATCTGAATGACAGAATTTTTTAAAACTTTCCTGATAGTTACATGGCTATAAGACGGATAATCTGAGCAAGTTTGGGCGAATTTCTATGTGCCAAACTTGAGATATGACTTCAAACACACGAAAACATCTCAAAGTGGCGGTTTTGGTACAATATTTGACGAAAGTCGATTATCTCGAGATCTGAATGATAGAATTTCTTTAAACTTTCCAGATAGTTACATGGCTATAAGACAAATAATCTGAGCGAGTTTGGGCGAATTTCTATGTGCCAAACTTGAGATATGACTTCAAACACAAGTAAATATTTCAAATTGGCGGTTTCTAGCGGTACGCAGGCATATATTTCGAGATCTGAATGATAGAATTTTTTAAAACTTTCCTGATAGTTACATGGCTATAAGACGGATAATCTGAGCAAGTTTGGGCGAATTTCTATGTGCCAAACTTGAGATATGACTTCAAACACACGAAAACATCTCAAAGTGGCGGTTTTGGTACAATATTTGACGAAAGTCGATTATCTCGAGATCTGAATGATAGAATTTCTTTAAACTTTCCAGATAGTTACATGGCTATAAGACGGATAATCTGAGCGAGTTTGGGCGAATTTCTATGTGCCAAACTTGAGATATGACTTCAAACACAAGTAAATATTTCAGATTGGCGGTTTCTAGCGGTACGCAGGCATATATTTCGAGATCTGAATGATAGAATTTTTTAAAACTTTCCTGATAGTTACATGGCTATAAGACGGATAATCTGAGCAAGTTTGGGCGAATTTCTATGTGCCAAACTTGAGATATGACTTCAAACACACGAAAACATCTCAAAGTGGCGGTTTTGGTACAATATTTGACGAAAGTCGATTATCTCGAGATCTGAATGATAGAATTTCTTTAAACTTTCCAGATAGTTACATGGCTATAAGACAAATAATCTGAGCGAGTTTGGGCGAATTTCTATGTGCCAAACTTGAGATATGACTTCAAACACAAGTAAATATTTCAAATTGGCGGTTTCTAGCGGTACGCAGGCATATATTTCGAGATCTGAATGATAGAATTTTTTAAAACTTTCCTGATAGTTACATGGCTATAAGACGGATAATCTGAGCAAGTTTGGGCGAATTTCTATGTGCCAAACTTGAGATATGACTTCAAACACAAGTAAATATTTCAGATTGGCGGTTTCTAGCGGTACGCAGGCATATATTTCGAGATCTGAATGATAGAATTTTTTAAAACTTTCCTGATAGTTACATGGCTATAAGACGGATAATCTGAGCAAGTTTGGGCGAATTTCTATGTGCCAAACTTGAGATATGACTTCAAACACACGAAAACATCTCAAAGTGGCGGTTTTGGTACAATATTTGACGAAAGTCGATTATCTCGAGATCTGAATGATAGAATTTCTTTAAACTTTCCAGATAGTTACATGGCTATAAGACAAATAATCTGAGCGAGTTTGGGCGAATTTCTATGTGCCAAACTTGAGATATGACTTCAAACACAAGTAAATATTTCAAATTGGCGGTTTCTAGCGGTACGCAGGCATATATTTCGAGATCTGAATGATAGAATTTTTTAAAACTTTCCTGATAGTTACATGGCTATAAGACGGATAATCTGAGCAAGTTTGGGCGAATTTCTATGTGCCAAACTTGAGATATGACTTCAAACACACGAAAACATCTCAAAGTGGCGGTTTTGGTACAATATTTGACGAAAGTCGATTATCTCGAGATCTGAATGATAGAATTTCTTTAAACTTTCCAGATAGTTACATGGCTATAAGACGGATAATCTGAGCGAGTTTGGGCGAATTTCTATGTGCCAAACTTGAGATATGACTTCAAACACAAGTAAATATTTCAAATTGGCGGTTTCTAGCGGTACGCAGGCATATATTTCGAGATCTGAATGATAGAATCTTTTTAAACTTTCCTGATAGTTACATGGCTATAAGACGGATAATCTGAGCAAGTTTGGGCGAATTTCTATGTGCCAAACTTGAGATATGACTTCAAACACACGAAAACATCTCAAAGTGGCGGTTTTGGTACAATATTTGACGAAAGTCGATTATCTCGAGATCTGAATGATAGAATTTCTTTAAACTTTCCAGATAGTTACATGGCTATAAGACGGATAATCTGAGCGAGTTTGGACGAATTTCTATGTGCCTAACTTGAGATATGACTTCAAACACAAGTAAATATTTCAAATTGGCGGTTTCTAGCGGTACGCAGGCATATATTTCGAGATCTGAATGATAGAATTTTTTAAAACTTTCCTGATAGTTACATGGCTATAAGACGGATAATCTGAGCAAGTTTGGGCGAATTTCTATGTGCCAAACTTGAGATATGACTTCAAACACAAGTAAATATTTCAGATTGGCGGTTTCTAGCGGTACGCAGGCATATATTTCGAGATCTGAATGATAGAATTTTTTAAAACTTTCCTGATAGTTACATGGCTATAAGACGGATAACCTGAGCAAGTTTGGGCGAATTTCTATGTGCCAAACTTGAGATATGACTTCAAACACACGAAAACATCTCAAAGTGGCGGTTTTGGTACAATATTTGACGAAAGTCG